ATCAGGACTTTATGATTTGGAAAATTCTCAACATATCCAGATTGCAAAAGATGCCAAAATTAAGAGATTCACTGTCAGGTTTGCTATACAGAGAACACAGAGACTACACAAACTTTTGCTAATATCTCAAAATTTTCTTTGAAGAGGTTAAATGTGTGACTCGATCTCCTCAAACATCTCAAAAGAAGCCAAAAAATAGAAACAGGATTATTTAGGAAAGATCTGTGGAGTAGCATCTGGGTGATGGAATGAATCTTCTTGACGTACACAGGCGATCCACTAGGTTCCTGAAAATTTTATATCAGCAGAAGCACTGTCGGCTTTGTCTAAAAGGGATAAAGTACAAAATGAAAAAGCATGTTGGGCCCACAAAATGTTCCCAGTGGAAATAAGCTGATAATAATACTCAACTGCAAACGTGTGCTACATTTCATGGTGGGGGCTGGGGGTGTGGGAGGTGGTAAAGGACAACTCAAATGGTGGAGCCGTGAGCCACAGAGAATTATCCACAGACTTTGAAACCAAATGGGGTTTTCTCAGCTGGATTTTGAAGTTGCTTGGGACCAGTAACTTCTTTTTTTTCCTTCTACTTTTTTCCTTTTTTTGAACCAGAATGTCTATAATTGTTACATGCCTGCCCCACCATGGTATGTTGGGAACAGATAACTTTGTTTCTTTGGTTTCACAGGTCCACATATAGAGAGAAATTGTTTCCCAGGATGCATTGTAACCCAGGCCTTACTCATACTTAATTTAGATGATTTAGATGATGAGATTCAGGACATTCAAACTAATGAGATTAAGGAGGGCTTTGTGACTTTGAGTTGATGCTGTAATGGTTTGACTTTTGGGGACTTTGGCATGGTTTAATGTATTTTGTACATGAGACTGAAGTGAATCTTTGAGGGCCAGAGGTGGACTGTGGTGGAGATCATGCAGCAACCCCCCCCCCAAAAAAGATGTCCATGACCTAATCCCTGGATTCTGTAAATATATTACCTTTCATGGCAAAAGGACTACACAGTAATTTAAAACTAATTTATTATCTAGGCTATGATAAAACAATGAGGCTCATCCAATGACCAAACCTGAATGGATCTAGGAGAGGATGTGGAGTGGGTAAGGTGAAGAACTGGATTTAGAAAATTAGAGGTGAGAAGAAGAGACCATCTCTGTATGGTGGGCAAACCACACTCTCAGGTCTGTTATTGAACCACTGCTCCACCGCAGCTGCTTTAGAGTTCCCTTGGGAGGCTAGAGCTGTCCAATGGGAATAAGGTGAAATTAGTTACCACTATGTCATCTCTGTTCCTTGGGGATCACTGAGTACCTGTGGGATCATTGTGGGAAGACCCCTGAGGTTCAATTTGTGCTAGTAATTTAATACCACATGGTGGTGAAATGCTTGGCTTTGGTTTAGTAGTCAAGGTTCAAGTCAAAGTCAATGCTGGTATTACTAAGAAGTAGGAAATTCACTTATTCTTTAATAAAGTCTTCCCTTTCATTTCCTCACTAAATTATACTGAGAAATTCAAAATCATTCACTCTCTGCCAGTTAGGTGATAATATCTCTGAATTTTGAAGGTGATTATGTCACTTAAAATCTCAAAAACAATTTTCACTGCACTGTTCAAAGATGAGAAAATTTATAAGACACCAACTTTCTTCTCTCCCATGGGAAATTTACCATGTATCTTATACAAGATCAAGAATAATTCCTATTACTCAGGTGGAGAGCATAATTCTCCAAATTAAGTATACTACTAATATATATCATTTAGAACTTTTTGTGAATAACCTTGTAGTCTTATTAATATTCTGAATACAAAATTGGCTAAAAAGTAATCCCTAAAGATTCCATTTTGACACTCTAATATCTGAAAAATGGTATAGAACTTTGAGATTAATTACTTTGAACAAATTAGGTCTTTTTTTAATAACATGAAGGTAAGTTACTGTGTAAAGTTCAAGTTCAAAATCTAAATGCTCCTTTTATTAAAACACCACCAATTTATATATTTGTTACTTTTCAGGAAATAGGGCTGACAAGGAAAGTGAACCAGGGTGCAAAAGGAAATCAAACCATGTAACTCTAGGCAATTCAGAACAGTTCAGAAAGTGAATAAAAATATTACTTGGAAATGTATTGATGTTGCACCAACTAATATTAAGGCATCCCAGCCTATCCATTAGATAGTAAATCTATTTTATAAAGGGTGACTAGTAATCTAGGCAGTCTTGCACAGCAGAAAGCACATGGGACTAGGAATTTGAATATATAAGCTTTAGTTCCAATCCTGCCAGTAAGAATTTGGACAAGAAATGAACTCTGGGCATCATTACCAGTATGTAGGGGTGAGGTAAACCCTTTCTAACTTGTGGTTTTTAGCTGTTGGACCATGATGCACATAGATGGTGTTTTTTGTGATTGTCTTGTTTAGGGTTCACTGAGCTTCCACAACTGTACAGTTGCTACATTTTACCCTATTTGACAACTTTTTGGGTTCAAGTTAGTCTCCCCCATTTTCTTTCTCCTAACGCTTTTGTTTTACACCTAGATTGCCCCAGAGTCACTGAGGCTGTTTATTTTGTAATCCACACCACTAACAAACCCCTGCTTCACCCCTATGTGGTGCTTCAGTTTAGGTGAATTCTATTGCTCTCTAAATTCACTGATTCTTCCTTCTTTGTCTACTTTTAATCCCCCTCCAATGAATTTCTGATTTCAGGTACTGCATTTTTTAGTCCTAGAATTTCCACTGAGTCTTTTATTAATTTCCAATCTCTTCTGAAATGTCCATAATTTTCATGTTTTTCTAGTTTTTAACATATTTATCATTGTTACTTAAAGTCCCATCTGCTAAATTGTTTGTGGGTCTGTTTCTATTGACTCTTTTTTTTCCCCTTCAAACTATGGGTAGCATTTTCTTTTCTTCCCATTCACACACACACACACAAACACACACACATGACATTGTGGTTGGAATACTGCAGTCTTTATAGGTGGTGTGATCTTCCTCTCAAAGTAACTGCCTAAAGGAGCAAAGGAGTTACATGTGGATCACCTTAAATTTGTGGAAGCTTGGTTTTATGCTTTGTTAGGGTGGGCCAATGGCTTTGTTCTTCATCCTAGGGGTAATCAGTCAATCTTGGTATATAGTACTTATTCCTAAGGCATAGATCCTCCAAGGTTTCAATGGAAAGACTGGGTGTTTCCAAGCTCTGTCGCTGGGTAACACTCAAACTCCAATCTCATTTCTCCTACAGTAGACAGTAGCTGAAATAACTGTTCAGCTCTTCCAAACTTCCATCTACTGTTTTCCTTTTGGGCCCCTTGGAATCTCACTAGAGTAGGGTCATGGTCAGGGTCAAAAAAGGATTTGAGGGGAAAACATTCCTCCCTCTCACAATGTGGCTCCTTTCTTTCCCCAAGTTTTAGCCATAATGGCAGTCCCACCATTCCAGGAAATGAGGGACCTTTTCTGCTTGCATTCTATCCAACAACAGGAAGTAACTTCCAGGAAAAAGGTGGTTCCCCTCTTTAGTAAGAGTCAAATCCCCTCCAGTTTCTGCCTGCTTTTACTAACTTCAGTGTTTTCAAAAAGTTTTTTTCTTCTTCTTACTTTGTTCATCACTTACCATTATTATCTGATAAAAGCTCTCCTGCCACTACTGGAATTGGAAACCCCTTTTACATTTTAAAATGTCTGATTCTGTGATTTGTAATTGGTGTATTTTAACATTAGGTTCCTTTTGCTCTTTTTGTGTTACTTGTTCTCAAATAACTAACACTCTTAAGGAATTCAGACTCAGAGAGGCACCTCTTTGAGGTCATCCTTTTATCACATTATTGCTGGCTCATGTGATTAAAAAACAAAAAGTCACAGAGGGAAAATATAAAGTCCATACACAAATGTGGCACCATATGCTCAAGTTTATTGAAGAGACACAAGTTACACATTGGAAACTAAGCAGAACACTGTACCAGTTTCACTAACTCAAATCAAGTCAGCAAATGACAAATTTTAGAAGACACATGTTTTATGTCTCACCCAATGTGGGTGATCATAAGAGAAGCTAAACAAAGAAAATTACTGTGTTATTAGGTAGCAAATTAATTTGATATATATAGCTTCCAAGTTAAAGATATTTCAAAATGTTTCAAAACTAGTAGGGAATAGGTCATGTCCAGCCTGAAACAAAATGTAGAATGTACCTTTTAGGGGTAAATAACTTCATTTGTATATCCACAGCAGAATCCCTCTGTCCTACTAACCAAAATTCTAATAAATTTAAAACTCTGTTTAGATTAGGTTTACTAAATTAACAATGACTCTGAAAATTATCTAGGTTTGGTTACATTGTTATATTGCACTTGAGAACAATGACAACAAAAATCAAGGATTTGGTACCTCTCCCAAGAAGTTCATTACATATCAGAAATTATAATGAAATACAAGCATATATGCCTGGGGTTTATTGTTCAAACTAGCCTATCAACAAGTTAAAAGGGCTAGTCTCCAAAACACTGTGTATTATTTTATTTGCCATTTTTGATCCTATATTCAATTTCTGAATTTTATATTTTTTTATTTACCAAACTACCACATATACAAACTATCCAAGAGTACATACAAAGTGACATTAAGATAGGTAATGGTCATACACATGTATTTCAAAAATGACTTATTCTTACCCAAGCTTGGCACTATGTTCTGCAACAAAGAAGTGTCTATCAACTAATAGATGGTTTGCCTTATAAAAAGCAGCTGATCTATTATATACTGTACTTTTGCCACTTAAATCTCTCTTGGGGTCATCATTAACTATCAAAAGTCTTTCACAGCCCTCTTTTACTAATACTTTAATTTTCTTGTTATATGAAGTATTGATGGGAATTTACTATGAAGTAGTAGTTTCATAACAGGTAAAATTGTGGCACTGAAGTTTTAATTGTTTTATACTTCAGAATTATGAAGACCTATATCACAATAATAATAATAATAATAATTCATCACAAGAGAAAGGTAAAGGGGAAAAAAAAGAATATCCCTCGCACAAATGTTTCTCAAAATATCAATTCTGAAATAAATGCCTACATAAGAAATCGACAACAGTATCAATATTTCTTACCAATATTAAATGCTTTAAATACTATCTCACTCATATTTTTAAAAACTGATCAGATTATTAAAATTTTACACTCAAAATGGATTTTAATTCTCCATAAATCATAAACACAGTAGTATTTAAAATGTTTGAAAATTAAAACAGTTTTCATAGAACTACTGTTTGACATTTTAACCAAATACATTTACATGCTGCTTTAGGGTAAAAAGAATCCCAACATTTTCCCAAACATTTTCCTCAAAGAGTAAGCTTCCAAATAATTCTTCTACCATATTTTTGTAGAGATATACATTTTCATTTTTTAAAAGAAAATACTTACTGCTTAAAACTACATTTCATAAAAGGGAACTTAAAACATCATGCTTCCAACAACATCCTTTAGTCTCCCATACAAGATTATACACCTTGAGAGAGAGGCCATAAAAGTTTTAGAACAGACTGTGCAAAAGCAAACAGTAACATTTTTTTTTAAAAGAGTGAATTTCTATCCAACATATACTTTCAGGGATGACTACTATTAGGTGGGAAAACAGGTAGTGAAAGTTGTCAACTTAGTGACTGGTGGCAGACCCTAGGATAAAAATATTTTTTCTTAAAAAACTTTAGACTTACTGGTAATAAAAATACTTATTGCTTATGACTAAGATCTTTTAAGCTACTAGTAAAATCTATACTACAAACCTATTAATTTTGAGATTCATTAAAGCTAAATACAGGGTCTTGTCATGTTCTAACGTATATAACTCACATTCCTCTGTTTTATGAATACATTCTAGCTTAGCCACTTGTGTAAGGAATTAGAACACAAGACATGGCAAGATAAATTTCAATTATTTTTAAAACATCGAAAAATACTCAATTATTTAAGGGAAATATTTATCACTGCCTAATGAGGACAGCAGTTAAAAACCTACTAAACTCTCAATTTCTAAAGCATAACATGATGTAATTGCACAAAAATAGGTATAATTAAGTTATTCCCAGACCTTGAGGAACTGTGAATAAATCACATATTCCTCTAGAAGAATCATCACCCTACAGGCATATAAAACTACAATGTGCCACCTGTGCAGTTTTTATATAAAAATCCTAAAAAAGTAATTTATGTTAATAAAACTACAAAAGTTTTAAAAGGCTCCCAATAACTTGAATTGCTTATAAAAGAACTTTTATACATTATTTTGATAGCTGAGACTGGTTTTACACATGATACCTTGCTTAAACTAAGGTAATATCCATGTGAGTAGCATCATGCTATTGTTAGAAGGACCAGCAAGCTACTTTAAGAATTTCAATTCCAAGCATTTCTCATGGGGTTGGGAGGTTGTAATTTGTAAAGATTCCTCATTGATCTTAGCCCATTCTCAGTTAAGTTTTGGAAATATAAGGAAGAATACATATATAGGAAGAAAATAAATTAATCCCAACTAAAAATTCTTGCTCTAAGAGCATACTACTAATAAGCAACTCTATCAAAGAACTACAGTCTTTTAACTTAAATGCTTTTTTTTGTATTGTAAATAGCCAGACTAAAACAATGGAATACGTGGACTTTGGAAATGATTCCCAACTGCATATGGCTTTAAGCATGATGATGATTAGCGGAAATTTATCTACTACACAAAAGAGGCATTTTTGATCATAGAATTTTTAGTATAGGTTGGCTTAAAGGATTTGAAAGAAAACCTAAACATACAAATTAAAATGTAAGGAAATGGACTGTGGACTAAACAAAAATAAAAATATAATAGCACGTACCCAATTTTCATATTAAAAATACTGTATCTTTGTTATTACAAGAAAGAATTTGGATGGATCATGCTTTTTTTTTTTAAAGTTCTACCACATAGGTAATATTAAAATCCAAGTTCATGCAGTTATAAAGTTAGTAGCTTAAAAATTCAACTGTAGTGTAATGTATATTAACAATAAGTTCCTGTACAAACGATGTGGATCCTAAGGTCCAGATATGGATTGCTTTAAAACAACAAAAGCAACAACAAACAAAATCAACATACAAAATCAGAAACAATAATTCTAGGAGGTACTATTTTATATAAAGTGGTAACTTAGGCAGTACCTGTCTTATGTACATTGAAGAACCATCACTTGAAATTTTATTATTTAAATACCTAAAAACACAAGTCAGTGGGTGTGTATTACACGTACGTTTGAACTTAATTATTACAAAAAGGTTGACAAATATTGCTCTCGTTTTGTGGTTAATACCAATGGGCACCATCAGCAGTAGAGTCTTGGAATTTTATTCCTCACGAAAGAAACTGAAACCTGTAATGAAGTCGGTAATTCTAATGGGTCAGGATGTAGCATAACTTAAAAATCACAGTTAAGTTTCTGAGTTTCCTTCACCATTTTCATGAGGTTGAAGCTGTTCCCTTTCTTGTTCTTCTTGAGGTGGCCGGACACGTTTAAAAAAGCCCATCTGTTAGTTGAAGAAAAACTAACATTACTGCCACATCAGTTAAGAAAATTAAAAGTACTAAGCGACTGTATTATCACTTAAGAAAATTTGAGTGGCACTTGGTACAACTTTTCTCCCTTCAAATATACGGTGCTCATCATGCATCATTAAAATTTCCTTTCTTCCTTCTTTGCTATTCTTCCTTCTTTCCCTTCCTCCCTTACCCTTTTCTTCTGCTTCTCCTCCCCCGCTGCTCTTCCCAAGTCTATTACTTACCCTGTACATTACAAATACCAAAACAGCCAGTAACAGCAATCCGGCTAGCACTGCTAAAATGATCACCCACACGGGCACAGGCATGGGTGCGGGCTGAATGCCCCAGGTGACATTAGTGGTAACCTGTTGGAGGAAGAAAGGTTTTGAGTAATAAAGATAGTTCACTGAATCACTCAACAAATGTCTGAATGCCTATTACATTTTGTTTTAATGGTATTCACATTTTCTTTTCTCGTATATGATAATCTGTGATTATATATTTGGTACTGACAGCATGCATGTATGCACATAAAATTCCCAACAACAGGTTAACTTCAAGGTACCTCTGAAGTGATTTTTAAATAATCAAATCCAGCTTTGATGTACTGGTCCCATTTTTCATCCTCAAATTATAGATCTTTAAAATCTTTAGCTTTCACCTATTATAGTTAATTTCCAACTTTCTAACTTCGTGGGGAAAAATTCCCTAAATTCCCTCCCAGGAAATCTCTTACATAGGGATGCTAAAGTAAAAGGTCTACATTTAATAATTCTGGGGTGAGGGAATAAAATAATATTAAACTAGGTTATAAGCCTATCAACTAACTTTTAAATTATCAAAACAGTTAAGGTGTCATTATTTAAAATAAAATAAAAAAATATCTGTGGCATTGAACTAAGTGCATTTATTCCATTTCCCCAAATCAATGACTTACTACTGTGGAGTTGAAGATATCCTCAATTGGAAGGTTCTTATAAGGAAATTCAATGACGTTAAAAGAAGCAGATGACTTCAAAGAGTATGAATGATTCTGGTTTTCTTTCTGTATGGAAATAACAATGAAATGATTTCCAAGATGTGAGGCCTTTTGCATATCTTGGAGAAAATGGATAGACTGGTGAATGCTGTTATCTACTTACATTCATAAAGGTCTCAGTCCACAGCAGGGACTTTACATACAGGATGGCACTCTTTCCTCTGTCTAGTCGCCCAACCTGACAGACAATCTTCAAGCACTCAGCAATTCCACAACCCTGCCAAAACAAATTCTTTACTTACAAGAAAAGGTCTTTCTATCATCTCTTCAACACATGAAAATTAGATATTTTATGTGAAGGCTAAAGAGATGATCCAGATTCTTTTGCCTTATAAGAATAATGTTTAAAATGATAGGCTAATAGTGGAGTCTATGAATGCTTTTTGTTAAAAGGGGTTGGTTTTAGGGGTGCCTGGGTGGCTTAGTAGGTTAGGCATCTGACTCGATCTCAGCTCAGATCTTGATCTTAGGGTTATGAGGTCAAGCCCCATGTTGGGCTCCACACTGGGCATGGAGCCTACTTAAAAAAATAAATAAAATAAAAATAAAGGGGTTGGGTTTTTTTTATTATTATTATGTTCAGTTAGCCAACATATAGTACATCATTAGTTTTTGAAGTAGTGTTCAACGGTTCGTTACTTGCATAAAGGGATTGGTTTTAATGTGATTTGTTATATAAGGATAAGATCTATAATATTAAAAGATGTTATTTTTATGGCCAGAAGTCAACATTCTTCTAGAACATTCTAAGTTTCTAGAAGTCAACATTCTTCTACTATTCTTAGGTAAACCCAGAGCATGATGACTATAGTAGGCCATAAAAATCAGATCATAATATGCCTATGGAAAAGAAAAAGAAACAATGAATCTTGAATAGCTAGTCCATGTCAGACCTGTAGGAATCAAGTGGCATGCTGATGGTCCTTGATACATTCAGTGTTTTTATCAGTAACTGGAAGGCAGGCAGTCAAAGAAATCTGAGATGTGAGCCCTGGAACACTCTACAGATTTAAAGGTCTGGAAATGAGGATTAAGAGGTAGCTAGTTGCGATACGTGAAGAACCAAGAGAGTAGTGTCTTAGAAGTGAATGAGGAGTGTTGCATAAAGAAAGAAGTGATGAATTGTGCCAAAAGTCACTGGGAGTTGAGGTGGATGAAAACTAAGAAGACCTATGGAATCTGGTGATGTGAATGTAACGGGTGCTTGCTAATGAATATAAACACTATGATGGATTCCCCGCTAGTTGATCGTTTGCAGATCTGTTAAATTTCAAAAACTTAAATGATAAACCACTTTATAACATTATAGTCATTACACAGGCTGACTCAACAAAAGTTGATCATAATGCTAATTATTCTTGTAATATATTTTTGTTGAGGCCTTCAGGGTTTTTCTTACAATATTGCACTAAAGGCTCCAAGATTAAAATGAGGTCAAGAAAGAGGTCAGTTAGAGTAGAGCCAGAAAAATAAATTGGGAATATAAATTACTTTTATTAGTAATCTACAAAGATAGATCATTTGAAGAAAATCTGGCATTAATTTGACTAGGAACAAGGAAAGTTAGAGGAGTGAATAGTATAAAAATATATGTAGTTCTTCCAAGCACAGCTGTTGTTATTTTTGAAATGTTCTTTGGCATCAGTTCTATAATCACGTATTTTCAAATGTTTAAAGTGCTTGTTGTTGAAGTGGCGCTTACCAAAGTGTGAATATCTCCTTCACTAAGGGTGAGATCTCGCTTGGTGATGAGATGGTTCCGGTCACCTTGCCCAGGAACTGTGTCATTCTTTTCAGTTTGTGAATTTGAGATCTAGGGTTACAGAGAGACTGGTGGTATATAATAGTGGAAACATTTTGCATTGACATTTTGGCATAAACTGTTATATGTGATTAAAACATGGTGACTAAAAATGTGTTAGGACAAATTTACCACTCGATATATGGCAGAAAGTAAGCACAGAGTCCTTAATATGTGGAAAGTTACCTCTGCCTAGCCAGGACTGCCTAGCCAGGATTTTCTCGCACAGCTAGAGGGGAGACCGATAAAACACAGGAAACAGTCTGAAATTTCACGGTGCACGTCTGTGATGAGTGTCAATCATGAGTATATATCATTTCAAAAGAAACTTTTGTTCTGTTTTCTTAACTTTCTTTAGTCCAAATTAGGCAATAGCTTTTTATCCAAATACGTGTGCTAGGATGGAGAGGACTATATCCAAAAGTATAGAATTCCACAAAATGACATTTTTCTAAGTCATGGAAGTCAAAAGAGCCAGGTTAAGTTAAATGTCAGATCTTTTTCCAAAGACAAAAATTTCAACAGCAAAACACCCCTGACACAATATCCTATGTGGATAAAGCACAATGCAATGGAACCAAAGTCAAACTGGGTCACTCCATAAATATATGATTCATTAGGACTTCTCAGAGTAAGGAATTAATCCTTACTTGTTATACAAATAAACAATGTAATCCTTAGTGTACTGGTTATGAAGAAAAATATTTTTGTAGAGTGGGTTGGTGTATTAAAATAATTGTTTTATTTTGGGCACCTGGGTGGCTTAGTTGGTTAAGCATCTGCCTTCAGCTCAGGTCATGATCCCAGGGTCCTGGCATCGAGTCCCGCATGAGGATCCCTGCTCAGCGGAAAGACTGCTTCTCCTTCTACCCCTCCCCCCTACTCAAGATTTCTCTCTCTCTCTCTCTCTCTCTCTCTCTCCCGGGGAGTCTGGGTGGCTCAGTCATTAAGCATCTGCCTTCGGCTCAGGTCATGATCCCAGGGTCCTGGGATCGAGCCCCTCATTGGGCTCCCTGCTCAGCGGGAAGCCTGCTTCTGCCTCTCCCACTCCCGCTGCTTGTGTTCCCTCTCCCGCTGTGTCTCTCTCTGTCAAATAAATAAATAAAATCTTTAAAAATAAATAAATGTTTTATTTCATGCATTTCTCTCATAGATTTAGAAAGAAAAGCATTAAATAACATCATAATAAAGAGTTGCTATTAAGCACATTACCTTAATTCTCAAAGGGTTGATCTCCATATCTGAAGTGCAGTTCATTGGCCCATCAATATCATATTGAAGGATATATAACAAAGTATTATTATTATATTTGTAAGGCCACTGAAGATTTAACATTGCCTTGCTGAATGAACTTGGACCGTTGTTTCTCAGCTAACGGGGAAAAGAAAATGTAAATAATTTGAGCAAAACTCTATTCCAGAATCCTCCTCCTACATCAACTTTAGGAATCATAAGCAAAGGATCTGAATAACAGCAGAGGTTCCATAGTTACTCTGATATTACAATATGATCACATTCGTCTCTAGTATAGGGCAGTCAGTATGTGTCAGGATGAAAATATAAACAAGAGGAAAATACAAAAAAGTTTTTGATGAAAGATGGCTTAGAAAATTTTCTTAAAATTTTGATGATCTGCTACAGGCACTTTCAATTTTTAGTTAGAACTGCAAAACGTCCATATGAAAATACTCAACGATGACCTATTGCTTTTGTTCAAGTACAACTAATTAGTTTTAGACAACAATTTGTATAAAGTGCATTCTTTAACCCCTTGAACCTACTTGTCTTAAAAAAAAGGAAATTATGAATAGGGAAAAAAATTCAAAGAAATCTCTGATACATCCTTAAACAATGCAGAGTTTACATAATCATTAAAGCGACTTGTTTTTTATAAGTAGCCTATCTGTTCTTCTCTGTAAAGTCTCTCTACCATGTATCAGTTAAAGCTAACAGCTGCAAACCTCATAGATGTGCTGGACAACGGGCCCGACATCTTCTTCAGTCTCGGGGTTCTCCTTATGCTCCCAGTTTGGAATTGGAAGAAAGATATGATCAGGACTTGAGACTCTAAACAATGACCAAAGAAAACCTACCATGAATACCAAAAATGATATGGTCAGTTCATTTTCAAAAGTACCCTGTATCCAAATGAATCAAATCAGACTAATTAAAAATATATATATTTAAAAGAAAAAAAGCCATATGTACATGTGAACATGCACATATATCTGCACAGAAACTACTCTTTATTGAATCTAATGTAACAGGTGAATTGGTAAATGAATTTGCATAAAAGTTCAACACACTTATTTTGTGCCTGCTGTTGCCACATCTGGTTTATTTCCAGAGAGTTACCAAATAAATATTTGGGGCTTTGGAATACACCTAGGACCTTATCTCTACAGAAGCTATAGCTCTAGTAAAACTACCATGATACTTGGAGGGATACTTCCCAAAAGAAGATACTGAGCCTCCTAGTTGCTTTTAAAAAGTAATTGCATTTTAAAGCAGTTTAAAACTCACAAGAATGAGACACTCAACTCAGTTATCATACTGACCCTCTTATCTCGACAGCAGCTAAGACAGCAAGGTCAACTCTGTAAGATACAACTGGGCTTACTTTGTCAAAGAGATTGGAGCTGAAAAAGAAAAAAATATATTTAGGCCTGAACTGAGCATGATCACCATCAAAGACATACAGAGGCAAATGCAGTGAAACTAAAAATGAACAAATTAAATGCAACAAAGAAAGGAAAAACTTACTAAAATAATTTTCATTAGCATTTAATTCTACGAAGACCAAAATTTTACTTCTTTTACTTTTGTTTTACAAGCTCAAAACTAACAATAAATTATTATGCTAGAAATATTGATTTTAAAAATGGTATAATAAAAAATGAAAAACATATTTTCTACAAAGATGTTCAATACAATTTGAAAAAAAATTAGAGGCAGGGATGCCTGGGTGGCTTAAGTGTCCAACTCTTGATTTCAGCTCAGGTCATGTTCTCATGGTAATGAGATAGAGCCCCACACTGGGCTCCATGCTCAGCGCAGAGTCTGCTTGAGATTCTCTCTCCCCCTCTCTCTTTGCCCCTCCCCCTGCTTGTCGGCACTCTCTCAAAATAAATAAAATCTTAAAAAAAAATGAGAGGCAACTTAAATGTCCACCAATAAGGAAATGGTTAAACATATAGAGATGTGTTCAGGTAAAAAAAGAATCTTATTCTGTAAAAGAAACTGATACAACATATAACAAAATGTTCACAAGAGTATCTATGGGTAATTATTATTTTCTTTCTGTATGTTTCTAGATTTCCATATTTTTAGGTCTTACTACATTAATATTTATACAAAACAATGAATATTATTTTATTTTTAAAAACGGTATAATCAACCTTTAAAACATTGTAAGTGAAATTTTAAAAATAAAATTTAAAAAATAAAAAATAATAAAATAATAAAAAATGATATAATCAAGTACTGAAATTTTAGCCTATTCTATTCTATAACATTTAGAATATGTTACATAATATATTTATGACAAATAACATTTCCTCAATAGTTATTATGAACTGAAAAAAGTTGTTTCTATACCTTTGGATCTGTAAATCGAATTTCACAGAAGTATCCATCTCTGATTGCTGGTGCACACTGAAACGAAGACCAGCTAGGAGCTAGAGGGGGAGGAAAGGATAGTAATGTTAATTAAAACAATGTCTAATCAGTGAAATTTAAATTCCAATGTCCAAATAAAAAAGAGCTGTTCCAAGGGGCGCCTGGGTGGCTCAGTTGTTAAGCATCTGCCTTCGGCTCAGGTCATGATCCCAGGGTCCTGGGATTGAGCCCCGCATCCGGCTCTCTGCTCAGCGGGAAGCCTGCTTCTCCCTCTCCCACTCCCCCTGCTTGTGTTCCCTCTCTCGCTGTGTCTCTCTCTGTCAAATAAATAATAAACAAGATCTTTAAAAAAAAAAAGTCATTCCAAAATAGGGTTTTTTTCTGAGCTTATAAAACTGAAAACACTCTAACAAAGATAATTAAATCTGATCTTCTATTGAATCTCTTTTATTTAAGATACATGAGCCAACCATAAAGGAGACTACTTAATTATTAACATAATTTTATCTCCTCATAATAATACCTAATATTAACTATAAAAAAATGCAAAAGTGAGTATCTGTTGATTGAATGAAGGTACAGCAATTCTGCATACTGAGTTGGTGACAGGAAATTAACAACTGAACTTGTGTTAATGGAGCAGGAAGGAAGAATGAATGGGTTTAAAGAGAGAAAGAACCTGGCTACACAAGCCATGAGAGGTAGGGCTAGAACCAGAACTTCTCTACGCGTATCACAACTCCACTGACAGCAATCATCCTAATTCCTGCAGGGGAAAATTGTTCTTAAAGAAAATAACTGAGCTAACAAGGTAAGAGAAAGCAGGCTTTTTGGGGATCATTTATGATACACAAAAATGAAACTTCTGGGGGACTTCATCAAACTGCCTCTCACTTTATAAAGCCTGGAGGGGGCCACCTGAAATAACTTGAAATTATCTACACTGGATGAACTGTGAGTGAGAAGGCTAGAGAGAATGAGAACATAGAAAAATAGGTCCACTTGTTAATGAGACATTGTTAAATACATGTGGAAAAACTCAATTCAGGGTACTTTGTTCAAGTCCTCCTTCCTAAAAGACCATGCATTTAGAAATAATAATGACATTTAATGGAAAATATACCTGAAGAAATATATGCAACTTTTACTGAAACATATTTGACATATAACACTGTGTAAATTTAAGGCATAAAACATGTTGATTTGATACATTTATAAATTATAATATGATTGCCATTGTAGCTATAGTTAGCATCTCTATCATGTCACATAATTACCATTTCTATTTTATGGTGGGAATAAAAATCTAGTCTCTTAGCAAGGTTAAAGATTTTTTTTAGATTTTTATTTGCTTATTTATCTGAGAGAGAGAGCATGGGCGTGGGAGCAGAGGGAGAGGGACAAGAGACCCCACATTGAGTGCAAAGCCCAACACAGGGCCCGATCTCATGACCCTGAGATCATGACCTGAGCCAAAACCACAAGAGTCAGACACTTAACTGACTGAGCCACCCAGGCACCCCCCAAGGTTGATGATTATAATAGAATATTGTTTATATTCACTATGCTGTGCATTAGATCTCTAAGACTTATTTACTATTAGTTACAAGTCTGTACCTTTAAACAATATCTAACAGGAAAGATAAATATGGACTATGTAAAGCCCATATTACCACAGATCTTCAAATTACCAAAGTCTTTGTGCTATAATTAAATTTTATAGAAAAAGTAACAAGAAAAAAAAAAACATAAGATGAAATATACTCCCATTTTTCCTTGACACTAAAAATTCTCCAGATATATGTTTGTTTACTTTTTAGAGCATTTCAGAAGCGACCCATTGAGTGCATCTTCTCAAGCTCCTGGGCTCCCTTCTCCACCTCAAGGGGAACCTGATCCAACTAAGATGCTCTTTGATTCTATCTGGGACAACAATATAGAGTTCTAAATTCATGAGATAATTCTACCACACTTAATAATGACAGTCTTGGTATTTGTCAGAATAGCTTTAAGGATTCATTAAAGCATTAGGTAAAAATATCAGAGTTACAATTTTAGTTCTTAGTTTAACCCACGTTCTCAATCCATTTAGCAAGCTGAAGGCAGTGTAAATACTGCTTATTGAATACAGCGTAACAGCACAATCCATTATTTTATTATCTTAGTCAAAATCAAACTCTGCTAATCATTACATTCTAAATCAAAACCAACTTAAAGAGACTATTCTGAAGTATCTTTTTAAAAAAATTTCTATGGAAAAATCCACAAAAAAATATGTTTTCTTAAAAAAAAAATCCACTTAGTTAAAATATCTTACTTGAGTTCCAGCCTTCATTGGGTTTCCAAGATCACATACCACCTGGCGGGTTTGGTTTTCTGTCTTAAATGCACAGGAAAGTCTTGCTAAGGCCTTTGATAGACCAAAAAAAAAAAAAAGATTGAAAGGAAAATAAATTAATGACCAAAAAAAAAAATACACTATAAAATTCCCAGACAATATCATGCAGTTGGATAGTTAAGTTTCTTGTTTTAAAAATATATCCATCCATTTGAGCAAATGGGGGGTGAGTATGGGCGAAGCCAGAATTGTGTACAATTGCCACGTATAAATGTAAAGGTATTTCTGAAAGATCCCTGAGGATCTGGATACATAACCTTATTACCCCTAACAAATTATTTGATGGACAGGCTAAGACACTTTATCTGTCTGACCTTGTTTCAGGCACTTAGCTAGCAATTCTAAAAATGTACTATCAATGCATTATGCAAAGTATTAGGCTTGAAAGGAATTATGTAAGACAGGCACTCTACGGCCTAGCAATTTAGCCTTAAGTAGAATGGGTAAGCTTGTACTACACTAAATAGGGGAGTAACTCATTAATGTTAATGAGACCTATGAGTGCATTTTGATTTTTAAAGAGGCAGCTTGCTTACTTCACTATTGCGGACAACCCCGATGAAATCAGCCTGCGGCGGGATGGAAACGATGAGCTCAGCTTCATAGGCACCTTCTCCTTGATTCTGAGCCTTAACAATCAATGTCAGAGGATTGTCGTCCCCAATATGGATCTTCTTTTGATCACTACAAGTTAATACAAATCTAGACAATGAAAAAAACTGCACAGGGAGAGCATGGTTGTTCAAAGAAACAAGAGAAGTACATAGCACTGACATGTTCAACAGTGTCTCAAGATATTTTAAGCCTATTTCACAGCTCAACAGAAAGCTGGAAATAGCATACTGGGTGCAAATCCAATGCTTCTCTCAGTAAAAAAAAGCATTAATGCCACTAATATATCACTACCAGTCATATCTATTACTGAAATAATTTTATATCTCTTTGTAGGTACTTATTAATTCCCTGATTTTTTTTCTAAAAGCTGAATTAATCACTGTCATGATTCTCAAAATATTCTTTAAAATTTATGTATCATAAAATACTAATCACATTGCTTTAGTTAACAGGGTATCTACAATGAAATATATCTTTAAGAGGATATAATGTTACTTTGTAACACTACTCATCCTGCATGGAAACAGATCTGTCAACCCAGGCAAGTAGTGAAAACAGTGCATATTTTTCTAAAGTTCAATACTGATAGTTTTACTACTACAGAAAATCATGAATTATCCTCCAGTATAACCAGTTCACATTAAAATATACTATTGCTTTCAATAGAAAAGTGTGTTCTTCCATTTAAATTTCTTGTTATACTGTTTACTGTTTGGAGCAAAACTTACCTATCTACAGAAACTTCCAATTTGGGTTTGCAGACGTTGTCTTCACCACAGTCAAGCAGAATATGGGCCTAGAAAAAAGCATTTTATTTTTTCTACATGAAAAAATACCAATATAGGACATATATGCAGTGTAAATCAATATAAATCAATGTGTATGTGGATGTATGTGAATATACATAAACACACATATATTTATATACACTTATCAATTTGTTTGCATACCTGAATGTAAAAAGTATCATGGCTGCTTTTTTTTTTTTAAGATTTATTTATTTTAGAGAGAGAGAGGGCATGCACATACACGTGCAAGGGGCAGAGGGAGAGGGAGAGGGAGAGAAAGAATCCTCAAGCAGACTCCCCACCGAGTGCAGAGCCCAACACAGGACTCGATCCCAGGACCCTGAGATCATGACCTGAGCCGAAATCAAGAGTCAGATGCTCAACCGACTGAACCATCCAGGAGCCCCATGGCTGCTTATTTTTAAATAGGTCAGTATAGCTAGTCAAGAATGAAAAACAAGAAAAACATTCATAGGATATAATACAATTAGTTGGGACCTTTTAGTTCTATCTCAAATTAAATTGTTATGATTCTGGAATGAAGTGTCATATAGAAGAGAAAGTACAGTCAAGAAATGAAGATTAAAAAAAAGAAGAAGAAAAGAAATGAGGATTCAGCATGAACCTGCTGCTGCTAGCTAAGTTGTGTGATCTTGGGCTAAACAAATTGCCCTTTTAGAATTTCTTGTTGCAGACTATGCCTCTGCCAACATCATGAAAATATGGCCACAGAGTGTAAAAGAATAAAGAGCTATGGGTACAGAGAAGCAATTCTGACAGGCACACCAAAGGGAACGGAAACTGGACAAAATGAGTCGAGCATATACATAGCCATTTAGAAGGAGATGAAGGAAAAGGGACTAGAAGCACTGAAGTTAACCAATCCAGGATGGATGAAATAAGCAAAAACCTGAATTTTCTCCCCTTAGATCTGGAGGCTAGAGCAGAATGGAAAATCCAAAAGAGAGAAATAGTGGGAAGTAGAAGAGGAGGTTGGGCAGAATGTGAAAGAAGGAATCTAAAAATTTTTTAAATAAGAAAGAAGAAAAAGAGGAAGCCATTCTTGGTTTGTCTATTGTTAATATTCAAAAATCTTCAAGCCCAGGGGCAGACAAAAAGAAGAGAGAAAATTTAAAGGGGGAAAATACTGAAAGACTTCCTCTTCCAAGTCACAAGGGATATGCAGCTACACAGAATAAAATTACATGATACAGATCTTAACTGTCAATTTAACCGGAATGACAACAATATACATGAATTACTTAAATGACATAGATGTAATAAATAAGTAGTTGCGTATGTGTACACATATACTATTTTTTACAATTAAAATGTAAATCAAAGAAAACATAGATATAAAACTTGTTTACCAAAATACTAAAATAGTATGAAAATACACTTGCACTTTGTTTTCCTTGAACTATTTTACTGTTCTATGTGTATGAGATATGACCCTGTCCTTCTCTGCATATAACTAAGTTCTGAGTGGCTTCAAATATCTCTGACCTGAAAATTCAGATTCCTTCCTCTACTTCTTTGACTAGAAACCCAACATTTTAAAAGCAATCCCTTAGGATATTTAAAAAGATGAACTGTAAGACTTTAAAAAATTAATGTATAAAATTAGTGATAAGTGGAGATAGTCCAATACCTGTCGACTAATGTTGGCAGGAGTGAACTGGTTAAGAATGGGTTGCAAGCCTGTTGCATCAGCAGCTGTTCTGTAATCCAACCGATACTCCATAAAAACAGTAATTGGAGTGAGTTTGTCTCTAAATTCGGATTCATCCTAGAAACAGAAAAGCTTCCAATCAATGATAACGTCAATCTATTGACATCAAACTATCTAGAGAAATCTGTAAGTGTACAACACAAAGCCAGCCGTATTCAACCCTGATCCAATTCTACCAAAACTCTGAAAAACTAGACTTATATAAGAGTATCTAAAAAGATTTGTTATTCAGTGAGAACCCTTAATCAATTTTTGTTTATAACAGAATACTTGATTCATACAAAAATATGCAAGGCATGTTAATAAAACAGTCACTCCACACCTAAAATAACTAGAACTTTACCAATAATGCTTAAGGTTTATATGTTCCCATCTGGTTTCTTCCCTTGGCCTTCCTTCTCACAGGTAACCACATCCTAAATTTTAAGTACAATGTTCCCTTGTTTGTTTTCAGTATTTCACTATATTGTATATTTGTCCTTAAACATGTATTTCTCAGTTTGCTTTTCCTTTTTTGTTTACTTCAAAGTGAGGTCATATGTATTCTGTGATTTGCTTTCTGTTCAACACTCTTAAGATTCATCCATGGTGTTAGAAAGAGCTGAAGTTAATTTTTACTGTTGAGTAGTATCTCATCATATATTAAATCCACAATATATTTATCCATTCTCCTGTCAAAGGTTATTTGGATTGTTTTGGGCTTTTTGTTTTTGCTATTACAAAAAAACAAACAAACAATTCTACATAATGGCAAGTAGATTTCTGAGCTCTAGAAAATCATACTGTATTATTTTCCTAAGTCTTCACAGCTTACACTCCCATCAGCAATGTGTAAGAATTCCATTAATTCACATCTTCACCAATAAATAGGTATTGGCAGACTTTGTTTGAATGTAAGATGATGGTATTTGTTCATAGTTACATCTTGAAGCTTATTTATTTTTTTTTAAATTTTATTTTTTGTTTTATATTTTTTAATTTAAATTCAATTAATTAACATATAGTGTATTATTAGTTTCAGAGGTAAGCTCAGTTATTCCTCAGTCTTCTATAATACCCAGAACTAATTACATCACATGCCCTCCCTAATGTCCATCACCCAGTTACCCCATCCCCCCACCATCTCCCCTCCAGCAACCCTCAGTTTGTTTCTATGATCAATACTCTCTTATGGTTTGTCTCCCTCCCTGAAATTCATCTTCTTTTATTTTTCCCTCCCTTCTCCTATGATTCTGTTTTGTTTCTTAAATCCCACATGAATGAGATCATATGATAACTGTCTTTCTCTGACTTATTTCACTTAGCATAATACCCTCTAGTTCCATCCACATCATTGCAAATGGCAAGAATTCATTTTTTTTTTTTTGATGCCTGAGTGGTATTCTGATATATACATATACTTCATCTTCTTTATCTGTTCATCAGTCGACTGGCATTGGGGCTCTTTCCATAGTTTGGCTATCATGGACATTGCTGCTATAAACGTTGGGGTGCAGGTGCCCTTCAGATCACTACATTTATATCTTTGGGGTATATACCTAGTAGTGTTATTGCTGGGTCATACGGTAGCTCTATTTTCAACTTTTTGAGGAATCTCCACACTGTTTTCCAGAGTGGCTGCACCAGCTTGCATTCCCACCAACAATGTAAGAGGGTTCCCCTTTCTCTGCATCCTCGCCAAAATCTGTCATTTCCTGAGTGGTTAAATTTAGCCATTCTGACCAGCGTGAGATGGTATCTCATTGTAGTTTTGATTTGTATTTCCCTTATGCCGAGTGTTATTGAGCTTCTTCTAATGTGTCTATTGGCCATTTGTGTGTCTTCTTTGCAGAAATTCATGATCCAATTCATGATCATGGAATGTTTTTCCATTTCTTTGTGTCTTCTTCAATTTCTTTCATGAGTGTTCTATAGTTTACTGAATACAGATACTTTGCCTCTTTGGGTAGGCTTATTCTTAGGTATCTTATGGTTTTGGGTGCAATTGTAAATGGGATCAACTCCTTAAATTCTCTTTCTTCTGCTCATTGTTAGTGTATAGAAATGCAACTGATTTCTATGCATTGATTTTATATCCTGTCACTTTGCTGAATTCCTATATGAGTTCTAGCAATTTTGGGGTAGTCTTTTGGGTTTTCCACATAGAATATCATGTCATCTGCAAAGAGGGAGAGTTTGACTTCTTCTTTGCCAATTTGGATGCCTTTTATTTCTTTTTGTTGAGGCTAGGACTTCTAGTACTATGTTGAACAGCAGTGGTGATAGTGGACATCCTTGTCATGTTCCTGACCTTGGGGGAAAAGCTATGTTTTTCCCCATTGGGAATGATATTCACTGTGGGCTTTTTGTATATGGCTTTTATGATATTGAGATAGCTTCCCTCTATCCCTACACTGTGAAGAGAGTTAATCAGGAAAGGATGCTGTACTTTGTCAAATGCTTTTTCTGCATCTATTGAGATCATATGGTTCTTGTCCTTTCTTTTATTTATGTAGTGAATTTATTTATTTATTTATTTACATTGATTGGTTTGTGGATGCTGAACCACCCTTGTAGCCCAGGAATAAATCCCACTTGGTTGTGGTGAATAATCCTTTTAATGTACTGTTGGATCCTATTGGCTAGTATCTTGGTGACAATTTTTGCATTCATGTTCATCAGGGATACTGGTCTGTAATTCTCCTTTTTGGTGGGGTCTTGGTCTGGTTTTGGGATCAAGGTAATGCTGGCCTCATAGAACGAGTTTGGAAGTTTTCCTTCCATTTCTATTTTTTGAAACAGCTTCAGAAGAATATGTATTAATTCTTCTTTAAATGTTTGGTAGAATCCTCCTGGGAAGCCATCTGGTCCTGGACTCTTGCTTGTTGGGAGATTTTTGATCACTGCTTCAATTTCCTTGCAGGTACGGGTCTGTTCAGGTTTTATATTTCTTTCTGTTTCAGTTTTGATAGTTAATACATCTCTAGGAATGCATTCTATTTTTCCAGATTGCTTAATTTGTTGGCATATAGTTGCTTATAATATGTTCTTAAAATTGTATTTATTTGGTGTTGGTTGTGATCTCTCCTCCTTCATTCATGATTATATTTGGGTCTTTTCTCTTTTCATTTTGATAAGTCTGGCTAGGGGTTTATCAATCTTATTAATTCTTTCAAAGAATCAAACCCTAGTTTCACTGATCTGTTCTACTGCTCTTTTGGTTTCTATTTCATTAATTTCTGCTCTAATACTTATTAATTCTCTTCTGCTGGGTTTAGGCTTTATTTGCTGTATTTTATCCAGCTCCTTTAGGTGTAAGGTTAGGTTGTATATTTGAGACCTTTGTTGTTTCTTGAGAAAGGCTTGTATTGCTATATACTTGCCTCTTAGGACAGTCTTTACTGCATCCCAAGAATTTTAAACAGTTATGTTTTCATTTTCATTTGTTTCCATATTTCTTTTAATTCTTCTTTAATTTCCTGGTTGACCCATTCATTCTTTGGTAGGATGCTCCTTAGCCTCCATTTATTTCAGTTCTCTCCAAGTTTTCTCTTGTGATTGAGTTCAAATTTCTGTTCCTTTCTGGTCTGTTACTTTTGGGCTCTCTCTTCGCTTAAAGGATCCCCTTTAAGATTTCTTGCAGAGCTGGTTTGGTGATCACAAATTCTTTTAGTGTCTGTTTGTCCTGGAAGGTTTTTATCTCTCACTCTATTTGGAATGACAGCCTTGCCAGATAAAGTGTTCTTGGCTGCATGCTCTTCTCATTTAGCTCCTGAATATATCCTGCCAGTCCTTTCTGGCCTGCCAGGTCTCTGTGGATAAGTCTGCTGCCAGTCTAATGTTTCTACCCTTGTAGGTTAAGGTTAAGGTTGTCTTTGTTCTTTGTCTCGGAGATTTGCAAGCTTCACTATTATATGTCAAGGTGCTGACCTATTTGTATTGATTTTGAGGTCGGTTCTCTGTGCTTCCTGGACTTGAATGCCTGCTTCCTTCCCCAGATTAGGCAAGTTCTCAGCTAGACTTTGCTCCAAAATACGTTCTGCCCCTCTTTCTTTCCTCTTCTTCTGGGATCCCAGTTATTCTAATATTGTCTCACTTTATGGTATCACTTATCTCTCGAATTCTTCCCTTGTTATCCAGTAGTTGTTTATCTCTCTTTTTCTCAGCTTCTTTATTCTCCAACATTTTGTCTTCTCTATCACTAATTCTCTCTTCTGCCTCATTTATCCTAGTAGTTAGAGCCTCCATTTTTGATTGCATCTCAATAGCCTTTTTTATTTTGACTTGATTAGGTTTAAGTTATTTTATTTCTCCAGAAAGGGATTCTCTAGTGTCTTCTATGCTTTTTTCAAGCCCAGCTAGTATCTTTATAATCATTATTCTGAACTCTAGGTCAGACATCTTACTTATAAGATAATACTTATTAGGTCCCTGACTGATTAGGTCCCTGACAGTATTGCCTCTTGTTCTCTTTTTCGAGTTGAGTTTTTCCTTCTTGTCATCTTGTCCAGAGAAGAATAGATGAATGAAAGAACAAAATACTAAAATGGCAATAACGACCCCAGAGAAATATACACTAAACAAATCAGAAGAGACCTGAAATTGAAAAAAAAAATAAAATAAAAAAATAGAGTGAGAGAGGAAATATAAACAGACAGGTGAAGAGAACAGAGCAATACACTGGATCCTGTATGTATTTTGGTCTGTTTGCTAGAGAACTAGATCCCAAAATTGTAAAGAAAGAAAAACTTATATATGTACAAAAAAAAAATTACATACATTGAAAGGATAGAATGTAACTGTAAAAATGAAAATTAAAAGACAAAAGAAAAGGAAAGAAAACAAGAAAGAATATAAACAGGTGAACAGAACAGAGCAATACACTATATCCTGGGTGTATTTTGGTCTGTTTGTTAGAAGAAACAGCATCCCAACATTGTAAAGAAAGAAAAACTTATATATATATATACACAAAAGTAAAATTAAATACAGTGAAAGGATAGACTGTAACTGTAAAAATGAAAATTAAAAGACTTAAAAAAAGACTTGATAAAATAAGAAATTGGTTGCAAAGAAAAAGAAAATAATTGAAATTGAAAGACTACAGAATCATGAGAAAAAAAACATGAATTCTATAAACTCTTTTCCCCTAGCGCTGGAGTTTTGCAGTTTGTGTGATCTGCGTAAACTTGGTTTTCGCTCAATGTTCTTGCAGATCTTCTGGGGGAGGGACCTGTTGTGCTGATTTTCAGGTGTCTTTCCCCGGGGCGGAATTACACCACCCTTGCCAGGGGACCAGGATGAGTAAGTGGCTCCCGACTTCTCTATGTGGCTTTTGTTCCCTAAAGGCTTTTTGTGCTGCTTTAGAGGATGAGAATGAAAACACCGCCTCCCAATCTCCAGCCCCTGAGCCAAAAGCTCGCACCCCGAACTCCTCAGTGCACCCTCAGGGAAAAAGAGACAATCACCCTTGTCTTCCTGGTCTCTGTCCACACTCTGTGGTCACCCAGCCTGTGATTGAGCATTTCTATCTCAGGCACGTTGACCCTGTTTGGAGTGTCCAAACCCTGCAGATTCCTGCAGCATGCACCTGCACCATTCCTCTCCACTCCTCCTGGGGAGGGAGGGGACTTTTGCTGGGGTTCTTCTGCTTGCTGGGCCCCTGCTTAGAGAGTGGTCGCCAGACCATGCTGTGGTTGTGGTTTATGGCAACCCCGAGCTGAGAGCCCACTCCTGGGCTCACTGGTTGCAGCTGGCTTCCCCACTCCGATGCCTGGGAGCTCTGCCACACTCAGGCACCCCTGGTCTTCCTGTGACTCCGAGGATCCTGAGACCACACTGCCCTGCCTAGGGTTCTACCCTGATTTGCTACCTGAGCACCTTTCAGGCAGGAACATCCCTCACCAGAGGAGACTTCTAAGAGTTCTGATTTTGCACTCTGCTCCTATATCACTTTCCTGTGCTGGCTTACGGAGGCCCCTTCCCACCCCTACCCCATTTATCTTCCCATATATCGCCTTGGATTCACTTCTCCGCACCTCCTACCTTGCAGAAAGTGGTTGCTTTTCTATTTGTAGAGTTGTAGCTATTATTTTCTTAGATCTCCGGTTGAGTTCACAGGTGTTCAGAATGATTTGATAGCTATCTAGCTGGATTTCTGGGACCAGACAAAACTCAGGTCTCCTACTCCTCCGCCATCTTGGAAAACCTCCAGCTTGAAGCTTGTTTAAATGATGAAGAGCTATTTAATCAAAAGCTGTTCCTATATTTAAGATGTTCGTGTTTTTTCTTCAGTCTTATTCATGTGTTAAGCTATACTTCTATATTTTTGAGTTAACCCACCCTAGAATAAATCAAAATTGTTCTACTTAATCTTTTTTCATAAACTGCTAGGATTTAGTTTGCTTATATTTGATTTAGTAATTTTACATCTATGTCTTTCTGAAAGACTGGCATGAGATTCTTGCTTGACTATCCTCCATCTTTCTGGGTATCAATTACACTGGCTTCACAGAATTAAGGTGGACATATTTTCTATTCTTCTATCCCTTCAAAGAGCTTAATATTGGAATGTCTCGTTCTTCATGGTTTGGTAGATATCGCCTATAAAACCATCTGGGACTAGTGTTTCCTTTGGTGTAAAGTTTTTTAACTGGCAACTCAATTTTTAGAATGGTTTATATGGTTAAATGGCTTTTTCAGGTTTTCTATTTCTTCTTATGGCAGTTGTGTTATACTTTTCTAAGAATATCTTTGTTTTGTCTAAGTTTTTCTATGTCTTAGCACAAGGTTATTATAATATTCTATTACTGTTATCTCTTCTTCACCTGTAGCTATGTCCCTTTTTAATTCCTTGTTTTGTGGAGTTAAATTTGTTTTCCTTCAATTTTTTCTTGATCAATCTTTCATTTAAATTAAACAGCATTTAAGGCTATACATTTACTTTATTTTCTGCCTCTGTGACATCCCACACATTTTGATAAGCAAAATTTTCATTATGATTCATTTCTAAGTAAATTTCCATTATAATCTCTTTTTTGATCCATAAGTTATTTAAAATCACAATTCCTAATTCCCAATTTATCTTTATTGTTATTGCTTTCTAAAAATTGCATCATGATCAAACAGTGTATTTTCTATGATTCCAACTTTTTGAAATTTGTTTAAACTTCCTTTGTGACCCATATATGGTCAATTTTTGTATTCTATATAAGTCTGTTAAATTCTATATAAGTCTATTAATTATGTTGTCTTCCAAATCTTCACTGATGTTTTTGTATTATTTATTATTATGTTATGTTAATCACCCTACATTACATCGTTAGTTTTTGTATTCTTTTTAAAAGTTTTATTCTTTCTTTAAACATTTTATAAAAAATTCATATTTTGTAACTGATAATTCCAACACCTCAAGCCTTTGCAGGTTTAAAATTGTTTCTTCTGGGGCAATTACTGCTCATCCTTTCCCCAGCCCCTCTGGCTCACATATTCCCATACAACTCACAAGTCAAATTTTGCCAATGTAGTTTTTTTAACTGACTGCTTCTTTTTTTGAACCCTGGAGATTTTTTTTGTTTTGAAAATCTAGTGATATTTAAGAAATATGTTTGTTATAATTTATTCAGTAGCATTGTTGTGGAACAGCCATTTGGAATATCCAGTTTGCCATGAGCAAAAATCCATTACTCAGGTTTGATACTTTAAAAAGTCAAATTTTCTCAAGTGTGTTCTTCAGTGTTTTCTTTTTGATTTAATATCAAAAAACTTTATACACAGTGAAACTCATTTAGATTAAAAAAATAGTAAAAAGTAAAAGATAATGAAGCAGAAAAGTATCTCTTACCCGCAGATATGCTATTAGTTCCTCACACTGCATTTGTCCCCCCCTTGAAATGGTCATGTTCTTAGAGTGACCTGGTGACCGGTTATGGAGAAATAGTGCTCGTCGAATTGCTCCTTTTTGCTTGAGCTTATCCAAAAGAAGCTCCACCTGGAAGTCTACACAAACCAAAGGATTTATAACTAACATAATCTTTATGGACACCTATCTCTCCTAGATACCTAGAGTTTTCATGTAAACAGAGATATTTATTACTTAAGAAGTAATTTCCTTGTAATTCACTAAAAATGTCTATACAATGTAGTGAGACTATAACATTAATTCTGAATATTTAAGAGTAAATAATCAATCCAATAATCCCCAAAGTAATGTCATATATTAATCCAGACAATAGATAATGATAGTAGTAAAATAACTATCAGATGAAAAGGAAATTTTTTCTTTTACTTTAAGCTGAGAGGAAGAAGTTCAGAGCATGAAATGTATGTGAACTAAGACTTCCACCATTAATGCGAGTAGCAGCAATTTCTTGCTGATTGAAATTAAGAAATATTTACTAATATGTACCCATACCATTTTATTAGACATTATGATGAATAAACAGTTTGCATCACCTGCAACTACTACTTCTATCGAAGCTGCCATATCAGATTGTCAAATATGTCCCTCATGAAGCAGGTGACCAAAGTTGACTGGATCAAGAATTATCTTAAAACGAACGTACAACCAATAGTCTGAAGCACAGTTGTTAGGGGGACTTCCTTCTAAGATTCAGTTCTTCTTTAAATAGTTTCTTCAAAGTGGGTAAGAGTGCAGACCAAGTTTCTAAATTTCTCTAAATGTTGAACTTCATGTCAAATTGGGTGAGAACGCAGGGTTATTTTGCTTCCAGTTCTGTTCCACCCACCCACACTGCCCTCCTTGTGTTTCTCAAACACAGTAAGCAGACTCCTGTCTCAGGCCTCTTGAAATCGCCATTTCCTCTGTGCAAAATACTCCTCCGGACATCCCCTAGGTCCTTCACTTCCTTCGGGTCTGTACTACTGAAAAGTCATCTTCCAGTGACACCTTACCTTGCTCCTCTATGTGAATTTTCATGCACAGACACATACCCAAAAGATTGTCTTCTTCCCCTGCTTTATCATTACTTCTCAGCACTGTCACTAACATAATGACAAATTTTGGCAACTATCACTTAGCTCTCCTACCTTGCTCTCTGGACCACATAAACCATTTTTTGGAAAGCAAGAGTCAAGTCAGAAGTTTGCCATGTGGGTTAAATTTAGTGGCCCAGACTTCTTCCATCATTTCTAAAGCACCTCTACTCCTGAGATTGCTGGGGTCTTCTCTAAGACATAAAATACCAACTCTTCTGTAGATCATCTATTTATAAACAGTGATACCATTTCCCCTAGAGTTCATTTATCTCTCATTGGTAACTGTTTAACTTTCTGAAGGCCATATTTACCATTCAGGGGGCTACTTTGTTCACAATGTCAATAAATAAATATGTATTCTATCTGAATTAACCTAAAAGTCAACAAGTTAATTATGTGGCAATGTTAAGTGTCTTTAAACATAATAGTCAAATAAAGAACAACAATAACAACTACTTGTGTTAACTATTCAAATATCTTAAAATACTTTTCTGAGTGCTACAGATACAGAATCATTATATAATTTTTCCATAGAACACTTACTAAGTTTCGTGGGAAGTGCTCCTTTGCCATCTGCCTTTAAGCAGAACTTGACATTAAAACTGCAGAAAAATAAAAATATATACAAATCCCATAATCCAGTTTAGACATATTTTTGAATAAATCACCCCCAAATCTCACATTTCTAATACACAGTTTATATAGTGAAGCCTTTTATATCTTTTCTCATGTCTCAACATTATTCTTGAAACATGAAACTATATAGAATAACTTAACTCATGCTTCGGTATTTTAAGCACATTTACTTTCATGGTACCTTGATGAAAAAAAAAAGGAAGAAAAAGAAAAGAATCTCCTAACTTCCTCTCACATTTAGAGAGCCTATTGATAAATCTCAATGAGGGAAATGACCAACCAGATTTAAAATAACATCTCACTTACTAAAAATCTCCACCAAAGCTTCCTTTAATTAGAGAGCTCCTCTAGAACAGTGTCTGTCACGATTTATTAATGGGTTGTGAGTGGGTTTATTAATGGGTCATGAAATTAGTTTAATGGGTTGGGTTAGCCACCATCTTAAAGAAATAAATCAAATAAATAAAATTGACTGAAGGATAAGATTTCATGGAACTTTTGTTTTAATTATATACGTCTTTAGTGGATTATGATGCAAAACGTATTTCATACTATGTGCCATAATCGAAAACACATGAAAGCTACTGCTTAGTGTATTCAAAGCCTTTGAATTATTTGCATAATTGAAAATATATTATTAACAACTTCACAGGGGCATGCAGAGTAAGTGAGGGGAAGAAAGACAGTAAAACTTAAAGCCAAAATCTGAAAACAACTTCATTGCCAATCAATATAAATTAAGAAGAATATTACTAAATTTTTAATGCAATCCAATGAAAGAAATAAAATTTTGAAAAATGTCTTTAAAAACTGTAATAACTCAAAAACAAAATCAGGAAAAATATTTTTTCATTAGCTCTTCTGAAGTAAAATTTTCCCAGCTTCCAATCATTCCACCCTGCATTTGTCAGAAGTTCTCTGATTTTCCTGTGTAACCAAGGAACATAAAGAACAGTGTTCTCCAAAAGTAGAGTACTCATGGTAATTTTACTAGTAAATGGGTCAGGATTTTTAATTTAATATTTATTTTGATATGTATGAGAAAGGTACTGGGTTTCTTTATCTTATTTTTCAAAGTTTTTAAGTAAAACATGAATCAATTTAGAGGAAAAAAAAAATTTAGGGACGCCTGGGTGGCTTAGTCAGTTAAGAGTCCAACTCCTGATCTCAGCTCAGTTCTTGATTTGAGGGTCATGAGTTCAAGCCCCATGTTGCACTCCATGCTGGGCATGGAGGCTACTTAAAAAAAAAAAAAAGAAAGAAAGAAAGAAAGAAAGAAAGAAAAGAAAAAAAACTTTAAAAATTATAAATACAGGTAGAATGAAAATACAGCAAAAATCATATAATGTAGCAAAAAATAGCATACAAATAATGGAGACTTGCAAAACACTGGACTAGAGAAGAATTCCGACATGAAACTTACAAAATATAGTTTTCTTTAGAAACTGGTAAGGAACAAGTAGAAGAACAAGCATATTATACTGATGAGATATTACTTATACAATAGATTAAATGTATATAATACTTTTCATGCAGCTATTCAGATATTAAATCTGGAAAAGATATCTTTTAAAAATTAAAATGTTCATGGGCCTGTTTAGAATTAAATATAAATGAGTTCGGAGATCTTATTAGCTTTTTCTCCTTTGAGCATGCATCATTTTTTTAAAATGAAATTCATACTAGTTTGTAGCATATTTCTAGAGCCTTCTACATATCTACTTTGGAACAATATTTCCATAATCCAATTTATGAAAAGAGAGTATACTCACAGAAACTGTTGTACCAATATTTCAGCTCCCCACCTCATTTTCAATTGTTTTCATAATGACTACACCAAAAATCACAATAATAACTATTATTAAACTAATGCCCTTACCAGGAAACTTTGAGGTCTGTCCCAGGCAGTGGGCAGGTTTTATTGTCTTGATTTAAAATGCTAGGGTATACTTCAAGGCCAGCATTTACAGTTATAACTGGTCTGGCCCTGGTTAAAGAAAAGAAAAAAAAATTATTTGAAATGTTAGATTGACCTAAGCATTTTATTAGGTTTACATTCACTGCATATATAAGTGCAATTTTTACTAAAGCATAGCAAAAAGAATAAAAACAACCTAAACACAGAATGACAAACTATTCCTGTTTGCCAGGGACTGTGCTGATTTTAGCACTGAAAGTCCCATGACCTGGTAAATCCCTCAGTTCCAGGCAAAGTGGGACAACTGGCCAACCTATCTGAACTCAGTCCACCACAGCAGAATGGTTAAACACGTCGTGGGGCGTCTACCTAATGCAATGCAATACAGGAGAGGAAATGAGTAACATAAATTCATCTGTGTGGATGGATATGAGATAATCTTTAAGATATATGCAAGATATCATTTTTATATGAGAGAGAAAAAAACCCACGATGTACAAAGGATGCATACAAATACACACACACAATTTTTTAATGCACAGAATGTTTCTGGTAGGGTATACTCATAAACTAGTAACTGACATGAGATAAAGTTTGTTTTTTTGTTTATGCCCTTTCTGTACTACTTGAGCTTTTACTACATGCATTATTAATTCTTTGATAACAATTTAAAAAACTGAATGATAAAATAGTTTTCCAAAGTTCAGATGCCCAGATTTAAACACTGTATAAAACTCAGGTCAGCGTGCCTATCTCAATCATGATAAATCCTGGAATCGATACGAACGCACAGGTGGCGCCAAGTTGGCCAACATAAATTCCATTACCCAGAACTAATGTTAGTTATCCTGGCATGTCTAAACACATCCCAGGGAAGTGTAAACGCCTTAATCTACTTGTGATGCCAGATGGTAGCCTAAACCATGGGGAATTGATTAAATATAGAGAATAACTGGGAATATAGATGAAGCTGAGAAATACAGGTATGTGGATTTATACATATTGTTCTAATAATAAAAATAGTGATTTGGGGAGTCATTACATACTGCCCTTGTGGTCACAGAATGCTATGGCATAACATCAAGTTAATTTCTTGCTTCTTTAGAAGAAAATGTAAACTCATATAAATGTTAAAGAGATTTAAAATGCGGGAGAATATTTTTTAACACAATTTAAAGAATAAAGTGGGAAAAATCTGAATGCTTTTCTAAATTAAAAAATCTACAGCTTTCTCTACTTTGGGATTTCCTTGTATAAATGCTACTTGCCTGCAGCAAGACTTGAAAGAACAAACAAATTTCATCATTACTTCAAGAAAATTAAATTTAAATTCAAACCCTGGACTTAACTATAAAACTGCCAAATAATTCAGAATATTCCTATATTACAGGAGATGGAAACATGCTCACCTGTATAATACAGCTCTATCTACACCAAAAGCTCCTACAATTAAGTCTTAAAAGAGAGTAGAAAAACATGTAAATAATAATAATAATAATGTTTTTTAATTCACATACCATTCTATAAAACTTTCAGTGCATATAATAAAGATTTAGATATAGTTTCAAAACTATTCTTCATTAAATGGTTGTAAGATAATATCTAAAAGGTGAAAACATATGAAAACTCTAAATAAGCGATCACTGAATGGCAAACACTCATCATAAAACTAATCTTTCATCTGGGTAGATGAGTATTTTTTTAATAGATACTTCATAAACATTAGCAACAATAAGGAAGTGCATGTCAACCAAATACATATACCCCTCAGAGTAAAAAGTTTTATAGGTGCCTGTGGATTTTACAATTTCATTATAAAATTCATTATAAATTTAAATTTCATTATAAGTTTTTTCACTGTTCAAAAAAACCCCAAAAAAGCATATTACATATATGTAGAATACTTAGAATAATAGCAGATAGCATTCAAATTAACAAGAACAGAATGCATTAATTTTTATATGCAGCTGGTAACAACAGGTTCACGATTATGAAAAAATGAAATAAGAGCTCTATCTCATAGTATACCCAAGGTAAATCTGAAGAAACCCTTTCTAAGCAAAAAATACATGAGAAACCATAAAGATCGGTAGACTGGATTACAAAAAAATTAACTTTTTTATGCACAAAAACCAAATGTGACAAACTGAAAAATATATACGTTAAGGAGTTAGAATCTTCAATATTTAAGGTACTGCCATAAGTTAAAAAAAAAGGAAAGAAAAAAACAACATCCCAACAGAAACAAAGCAAAAAAAAAAGGAAAAAAAAATTCACGAAAGTAAATATATATACAAATAAATAAAAAAGCTTACCCTCCCTAATAATTAAAAATTATAAAGTAGAACAAAGTAACATTTTCCACCTATCATATAGTTTAAAGTTATTTTAAAAGAAACAACAGATGACCGTCAGTGTAGGCACAAATATGGGGAAATGATCACTCTGGTGAGTGCTTAAAAAAGTTGTGAAACCTTCTTTTGGAGGGAGTGGGATTGTAATTTGACAATATGTTTCAACAGACTTTTTTAAAAAAGTGCATATCTTTGACAGCAATTCTAGAATTCTGTCCTAAGGAAATAATCAGAGATATGCCCTGGAATTGCATGCATGGATATAAATGCCCAAACATAAAGTTAAATAAGATATGATACAGACATTTAATAGAATGGGAAACATAAAATTCATCCTCAGAAGAATAATTAATAATACGGGGAAATATTCCTGATTTTAAGTGAATAAAATATGCTATTAACAGTGCCTAAAACATACTTCTATTCTTTTAAAAAACTGTATGAATGCATTGGAAAAAATTATTGAAAGATATGCTTTGCTTATTTTCTAAATGTTCCATAACAAATATATTACATAAATAACCAAAAAAATCTCTTGAAATAACACTAACAAGTAAAAATGAACTTCCTGTCCTATTTCTAAAAGTACTTCAACACACTTGTATATTGGGCTCATATGAACTGTTTCAACAATAAAGGTAACCAATTCTTCTGCATTATATTTCATTTAAAGAATGGACCCAAAATGATCCAGATCCATTATAATACTCCTAAGTATGTAAGAGCTAGAAAAAGGCCTCCTTTCCTGTCCTGGTTCAAACCCACAGGCAAACCTCAGGCAAATCACTTTTTTCAGTTTCTTTTCTCATCCATAAAATGGTGTAATAAAGAGATGAGCTGGCTTATATTCCTCACCAGCCTTACTGGGAGAATTAAATGAGATAATGTATTTTTTTTTAAATGACAATGATTAGTCAAGTCCATAAAAATGCTAGACCATTAAAAACAAACAAAAAAAGACATTTAAAAAGTTAGAATGAACATTCAGCTTTTGTTTCTAGCTTCTACAACATTTTTCTCTGACATTTCATTACAGATTTTAGGAACAACAAAAGATGAAACAGAGTATGAGTTTTATATTGGAAGCTCCCAGGAAATAGAGCTATCTTTGCTTCAAACCCCCTTCAGTGATGAGAACAGTACCTTCAGTATAGCAGGGGTATGAACAATACTTGACGTATTTAATTGAAATGACTCATAACATAAATCAAGAGAGCAGTAACTAAAACTATTTCTATTAGGACTGAAAAACCTAAGAAACTCTATATATTTCTAGGAAAGCACCTGGATATCCATTTCTGTCTATATCCGTGGCTCCTTTCATTGAATAGCCAAAGCTTGGTGGCATGCTCCGAGCAGCCCACTTCCCTTCAAGGATTTGAGATGGTACCGCATTCAACCCTGTTAATCTTCCATTGAAAATATAAACAATTCCTTTTTTATCTTCACCCCCATATGGTGCAGCAATTGCAATATCTGTAGGGGAAAAAAGAGGGGAGGGGGATTTGGGACGAGTAAAAAGAAGAAGAAGGGGAAGGAGAAGGAAAGAAGAGGGAGAGTGGGAGGGCAAGGATGGAGGGAAGGAAGTCTTAGTACTTATTATTTACATGGTGAAGATCTTAATACAGATATATTCTGCTTTCCAAACATTCCCCTAACACCACTTTGCTTTTAGGTAAGACCTACATTAGTACCTGTTTTGCTAACTGAAAGAAATCTGAAGAGGATTCGCTTTTACAAAGAAAAGCCAAAATAGCATTCAGCGTTTGTTTTGCAATGAACCTGCCTAGAGGCTGAGTGCACCCTGAGCAACAAGAGTGGTACCCCTAAGCTCTTTCCCAGGGAATTACATCCAGCATCTCAGCATCAAACCACCATAGCACTGAACTGTGTGAGCATCTGTACTTTATCTCAACTTTTCTTTGCATCCATTAGCAAGATGTGTCCTAAGGTATCACAAAAGCCTGAGACAGGTTCCTTTTCGGGTCTGGGAAATTTTTTGGGTCTGGAAAAATTTTCCATATAAATTAATGATAGTTGCTTCTTCACTTTACACCATTTCTGCTTATGAAAGTTTTTTTTTTTAAGATTTTATTTATTTATTTGAGAGAGACAGAGCACACATGAGCAAGGCGGAGGGAGGGACAGAGGGAGAGGGAGAAGCAGACTCCCCACTGAGCAGGGAGCCCAATGCAGGGCTCGATCCCAGGACCCTGGGATCATAACCTGAGCCGAAGGCAGACGCCTAACCGAATGAGCCACCCAGGTGCCCCTCTGCTTATAAAAGGTTTTCATAGGAAGGTTCTACACTTCAGGATAGTGGTGGTGGTGGGGGAACCTGTATTCATACAACCCATTTATCACAATAAATACTGATTTAAAGTTTAGTAGCATATTCTTTATTCAAAAGCAACAACCTAATTTAAGGAGATTCAAGCAAAGCTGTGTGGAAATGACATTAACTTGGAGTCAGATATTCTGGGTCTTACCTTGGATAAATCACTTAACCTTTCTGGACCTCAAAATACCTCATTCTTAAAATGGAAAGAAGGGGACATGTCAAAAGGTTCATCTAAGGTTCATTCCAGCTCTCAAAATTCTAGTTATGTACATGGTTTTGTTTTTGAAGTAGAAGTCAGTCTGGCTTGGAAATTTGAAAGTTATGACTTCATTTCAATCTTGCTCAACTTGTATTAAGATAACACAAATTAAGAAGTGGGTGTCGGTAGAAAGGGAGGAATATAAGATGAAGGGCATAACAAAGGGTTAATGTCATCAGGTTTGAACAAAGAAAAGATCCAGGTTATAACTAACAGTTCATTTTATATATATAAACTATATATATATATGTAATCTGTAAGTATATATAAATAGTTACATAAACACGGCTCAGATCATTCACAATCTACTATTTGGGGTAATAAGATTCCAGGAGAAACTTGGGGAGAACAAAATCCTCCTCTACGGTATCCATCTCTAGAAGTAAAATCTGTTTGTAAAATCTTTGTAAAACTTCAGTATTTTGTATCTGTTGTTTTAATTGTTGTAGTCACAGATCACACATTTGATAAAAATACAGAAAGCAGAATGAGATGTTGGCCAGATCATGATATTGAGGAAATTTGCTTTAAAGTGGCTGGAATACCCTTAAGACAAAGTGACAGCAAACATGCCCAGGATCTCCCAGAAAACCCAGAGACAAAGGTCCTACTATAGAAAGGAACTCATTACATTTATTCAAGATAGAACCTTAAATTTGGCCCTGTGTTTTCTAGGTAGTTTTGTTATCAATAAGTAATAGCTTAATCTGTTCTATGCTATTCTTTTCAAGTTCTATTTTAAACTTTACACCAGTTCCATTTGGTTTATGTTCTCTTGGTCGTAAAAATCTTTAGGACTCTATTTTAGGAAGCAAGACATCTCTGTGAGTAGTTCTCACTAACAGTGAAAACATCTAAGGGTTAATCTCAGAAATGACACTTCCAGTGCATGATATAAAACTACCTGAGAGGCAGGAGTGGAGTGGTCTTGAAGCCTAAAAAATGTTTTACTTTTCCACTACTATGTGGAAGATATGAGTCAACTGTATTTTTGAAATTTTCTCTTTAATTTATAACTTCCTTTAAATTTTAAGGGGCATATTCCTATATATTACCGATTATTCAAAAAACCAACAGTTCAACTCTATTCTGTGATCTCTACAGAGTTTTGTATTTCTTTTTAAAAAAGTCTTGATAATTTGTAATCTAGCTTTTATTCTAAAATAAAAGCCAACTTTGATTTTTAAAGATACTTACAGATATTAATTAAATTATTAAATGGGACTATAATAAAACAATGAACTTATATTTTTTACTTGCCCCCACGAGGGGAGTTATAACCTCCTCCAGAGTTTCTTAGACAGCCACAACAAAGTTATGCCTTTAAAAATATGAATGGCTAATCATAACTTTGAGGGATGCAATTATAGCCTTGACAATGTACCTGGATGCATTTTTTACATTTGTAACCAAATAGGACGGTAGAGGGCGCTGCTGCTAAGCAGGACAGAGAGAAAATCATCCACCTTACACTGGGCTCCCTGGGAAGGCAGATTTCCTCTCAGAAATTAACTGTTGCAAAATTCTAATTTGAGGCTATATGAATAATAACTCATGAGAATCCGTTTTTTTAATTTTCTCTGCTTTTTAACAAAAAAGAGCAACCGTTGTTTAACCTGGTGTGTCACTGTCAATCACATGCTTCTTTCCAGGAAGATTTGCTAGTATGAACTTCAGTAGATGAGGGTAGACACAAAATTAGGAACACACCATTGCTGAACTTTGATCTTACCGTTGAAGCCATCCTGGTCCAGATCTCCCAAAGGTGCTATGGCACTGCCGAACCTCGCAAAGACCTCAAACCCATTCAGCTTGGTCGTCTGGAAGTCTCCTGAAGCTCTTTGCAGAGACACAGACACCTGCCCCACTTCTTGGAGTTTGCCATCAGAACCACGATCCATGAAAAGAGGTGCTCCAATAAACACATCTGCGTAACTAAAAGAACAGAATCTTTGTCACCAAAGCAAGATCAAATTCCATCTATTAATAATAATTTTTTCTTATTAAAACTCAGTCTCCCTCTTTCCATATCTCTCATAACCAAACTGAAGCATAAAATCATTTCAAATTCAAACCTTCTTCCAACTCCTTTAAGAAACCGTGAGTAACTCATAAAAATTATTTTATTCCTTCACATCATAAAAGCTACTGAAAGAAATTATGAACAACACAGAGGTTTTCTCGTATTCGTGGTAAGATTGCTTCAAATTGTTCCCTTAAATAGAAAGATTAGCAGGAAGGGAACAAACAAACAAAAGAAAAAAAATGTTTAGTTTTAGTAAAGCATTCATAAACATGAGAGGAAAACTGTTCCTGGAAACATCTTTTTAAACTTACTCATCCCCATTAATGTCAGTGGCAGCGACAGAAAATCCAAAATATGCAGCCATCTGGATAACAAAAAGAAAATTTAATGTTTACATTTCATCCAACTAGTTTGGACAGTTAATATTTGTGGTATATTTATCAAACAGAAAGGTTTTTTTTTTTTCTCTGCACAAAGTGCTTCAATCTTAATTTCTTTTCTTTTGTTTATTCTACCAACACTATCAAGTAATGAGGCTTTTTTATGTTCCTAGATTTATAGGCAAAACATATCCCATGTATATCATTGCCGTGTCTTCAACACATCCCACTTAAGTCCATGCATAACCAGTCCTCCTTCCCAGGCCTAATCCACTATCTCCCTTTCTCTCTACTACTCAACATGTGCCAGACATAGACACACTACCAGAAAGACATACAGTCATGGACAGAAGTTTTAAATGAGCCCAAGAAGTTATCAGTGGGAGTTTATGCAGTAAACGTAATAGATAATAGTTATTAATAGATCATAACTGGCTCTTCCTATGTGAAAACACTGCTACTCTCAAGAAATCACTCTTTAGAAAGACATTGGAATGACTTTGTTCTTGTCTCACGTCTCAATTGATTACTTGCCAGTGGCTTTGCTTTTGAATTATACATAGTACAAATGTTTTTGGATTTATTACAGGATTATGTGTAGAGAGAAGGAACGTCCTTTCCCCCATTACAGGAGACTACTACTGGCCATCACCATCATGGACAGAGCAGCCTGGCTGGAAATAAATGTGAAAAGTTCTAAAGATAGCCCAACATGCAAAGCAAAACTAAAAGAGATGACAGTTTAAAGATGAACTAAGGTGAGGAATGAGTCAACAAACCAAAAAAAAGGAAAGTTAGCAAAGCTTCCAAAATTTGATTAGTGGAGCTATTAGGAGGGAATGATACAGGAGATTCCTACATTATCTATTTTGGGTTGATTCAGTTAACTAAGACAATGGAAGGGGCAGTCTGCATTCAATTACAAGATCAGAGCATGTGTATAAAGTGTATTGTATTTGCACTGCAATTTAACAGAATACTACGGTCAGGTCCTAGTCTTGCAGGGTGCTCTACTTGAAACTGTAAAGAAAGCAGGGCATTTACTGTGACAAATTTTATCCTGGGCACCAGGATTGAAAGGTTTTCATTTGATTGTTACTACAACCCCATATGGAAGTTACCAGTTTCCCTATTTTTACAAATGATCTACCGGATTTACAATGGCATATACCTTTGTTGGATGCAGTAAGACTGAGAATTTAGAGCCTAGCTCTGTCTTAAAGCAAAGCCCATATTCCCCCCCTCCCACCACAAAACAGCTGAGGAGTAATAAAGAAAGCATCATGGACTGTGTACAACATGATCCAGAGACACACATGGGCATCCGACAGGAGAAGCTGCTGGAGGTCAACAAGTCACAGCCTCACAAAGGGATAACCACCCCTGCCACAACTGGCCCGTCAGCTGCAGGCCATTCTGTGCTGTGCAGCAGCCCTGACAACCACACGTGGGAAGAGGTTTCTGGGGACCATGAGTCTACTTCCTTATCCTATCGATCCTCTTGCAAAGCCCAATAATCTCTACTGAACAGGAAGTGGGCTTTAATCCCACCCAGATCTGCAAACTGGGAGACATTTCTTTTTCCTGTACCCGCTAATTTTCCCTTTGTCATTCCTAATCTGTCATTTAATTCTCTGAGATATACAATACAAAATGCTATAAAATGCCTGTACCTGCAGAAAATGTCTATTACCTAAAAGTACTGCTTTTTCTTAAAAAAAATATGTTTGTTTTTTTTTTTAAAGATTTTATTTATTTATTTGAGAGAGAGAGAGAATGAGAGCCAGAGAGCATGAGAGGGAAGAGGGTCAGAGGGAGAAGCAGACTCCCTGCCGAGCAGGGAGCCCGATACGGGACTCGATCCCGGGACTCCAGGATCATGACCTGAGCTGAAGGCAGTCGCTTAACCAACTGAGCCACCCAGGTGCCCCAAAATATGTATTTTTTATTTAAATTCAATTAACTAGTTTCAGAGGTAGAGGTCAGTGATTCATCAGTCTTATGATTAAAGTATTACTTTTTAACTGAAATGTTTTATTTCATGTACTACATATGAAGTTTACTTATAATATCTATAATTTACACATCTGTGCCATGCTTTGTTTTGCATCTAATAAAATTAAAAGGCATAGATCATTTCTTAAAGGAGAATTTAATGTCATCAGCAAAGAAAAAGGAAGTGTTATGATTTTGTGTGTATGACATGTATGTGTGCAATTTCTGTATTTCCTTAAAAAACAAGCCATAATGTGCAATTACAAAAGGCTCTGCTTACATAAATTACTTTGGTTAAAGGTCAATTCTTTAAAGCTTATTTTATATTTACAATACTGAATATTAAACCAATATTTACTATATATTCAATGTAAACCATTATGATATTATCAAGAAAAGTTTTAAAATGCTGATGTTAAAATGTTAAATAAACAAAAACATTTTAAAAGCATACCTGCTCACCAGTAAAATTGTGTAAGGAGGACATGTTTTTCCCATCATAAATATAAACCTGTGGAGGAAAAACAAAAGCATATGGAACACAGTAAAATATAAGATAAGCCAGAGATTCTTTTTTTTAGATTCCTTTTAATTTTCCTACCATTCCCAAAGTCCTCGCTGCTCTTGGAACACCTGAAACAAAGTCTGAAAAGAAAAACATAATTACTCATTTTCAAGACCAATACCGAAAACTGCAGGAGGAAATGGGTATATCAGAAAGCTTTAAGTTCTGTTTTATTATTTCAGTAGAAAACATTTAAAAATCTTAAAAATTGGTACTCCAGAATAAATGACCATAACATTTTTTAACTACAAAAATCAAATCTTTACTACATCAAAAACTAATGATGTAATGTATGGTGATTAACATAACAATAAAAAAATTTAAAGAGAAAAAAACTAATAAAAAAATCAAATCTTTACAAAATACAGAAAGATTCTTGAGAACCCTCAAATAAATGCATGTATGCCCTCAGGCATTTGTAATCTCGGAGCAAAGTGAAATAGGGTAGAGGTGGCAGTGACACAGGAATGTGATCAAAATCAGGTGAGGTCTCTGATTTCTAAATTGAGCTCTGAAGGAAGATGGATGGACAAACACAGAATGGGGTAACAATCTTAAAGGCAGAGCCCAGAAAGTTAGAAATTATGTCCACAGGAAGAAGAAACTAAAGCCCTTCCACGAGGACTTAAACTATTGAAAGCAAGAAGGAAGAAGCTGAAGAAAAACTACGATGCCTGGGCCTGGAAAGGAACGGACGGGGAAGACACAGGGGTCCCCAGCAACCGGCGGGCTCAACCTTCAGCAGCTGCTAGAGAAAGTTTAACATAGACCAAGCTCAAATCAATGTACTAATATCTCCCACATTTCTCTTGTTACATTATATAGCAATGGTTTCAAACTTTAACTGCTGAGGTTTTTCAATGCCACCTGTTTCAAATGCTTAGTCTATATTTTTAAAGAAGGATTAAATATAGTTTAAGTGCATCATACCATCTATGCCATCACCATTAAAATCTCCGACAGCCACAGAATAACCTAAACGGGGAACAAAATGTGAAACATCATCAGGGCACAAACAGTTACCTACAGCATACTTGCTGAATAGGCTTTCCTTGAAAATATTTTCAAGTAGGACTGACTCTTGAACAAGGGGTTTGAACTGCACAGACCTACTGATTCATGGATTTTTTTCAATAAATATAGTGCAGTTCTGTAAATGTATGTTCTCTTCCTTATGGTTTTCTTAACATTTTCATTTTTCTAGCTTACTTTATTGGAGGAATACAGTATATAATATAGATGACATACAAAATATGTGTTAACTGACTTTATGTTATTGCTAAGACTTCTGGTCAACAATAGGCAATTAGGTTTTGGAGGAGTCAAAAGTTAATGCAGATTTTCAACTGCGCAAGGGGTTGATGCACCTAAGCCCTGCATTATTCAAGGGTCAAAATAATTCCCTTAGTAATGTAATATTTTGTTCTTTAGGGGTAATAGATTCACATGTATACAGTAAGTGAATCTAAAGGAAATAAACACTCAAATAGTATATCTCTATTAGAAAAATAAGACTGTTTTATCAATTTTACAAAGAAGTCAGTTAAAAACAGTAAATTTCTTATAGAGAAGAGATCAGAGACTGCCAGAGGCAGGGGGTGATGGGATGGGCAAAATGCATGAAGGTGGTCAAACAGTACAAACACCCCCTTATAAATAATTCATGAGATGTAATGAGAACATGGTGACTATCATTAATAATAATGCTTTGTATACTGGAAGTTGTAACAGAGTAGAATTTAAAAGTTCTCATTACAAGAAAAAAAAAATTTGTAACTATGTGTGGTGATAAATGTTAACTAGACGAATTGTGATGATTATTTCACAATATATAAAAATACCAAATCATTATGTTGTATACCTAAAAGTAATATAATATTACAAGTCAATTATATCTCAATTTTTAAAAAATGGTAAATCTGTAATTCATCTTAAAGGAGCAACAAATAACAGATTTCCTCAATCAGCAAAATACTACTTCTGTCATATGTACTTGGTTTAATAAGAGAAATTTAAAGGGAGGTAACAAAACTTAATAAATCTTAAAGACCATAGTTTAACACCATGAATAATATAGTTAACAGAAGCCTAGGAGTCAGACTGCCTGGGTCTGAACCTTAGAACAGCAAGTTATTAAGTGAGTGACTTTAGGTAAGTTATTTTGCCTCTTTGTGCCTCAGTTTCTTTACCTACAAAATGGGAATAATAGCAGTATACTTTCACAGACTTGTTACAAAGATTAAGTAAATTATTACAGGTGAAGCACTTAGAACAATGCCTAGAATATGTAAGCATACTTTAAAACTTATCTATTATTATTGGCATGCCTAGGTGGCTCAGTTGGTTGAGCATCCGAGTCTGGATTTTGGCTCAGGTCATGATCTCAAGGTCTTAAGATTGAGCCCCATGTTAGGCTCTGTGCTGGGCTTGGAGCCTGTTTAAGGCTCTCTCAATCTCTCTCTCTCTCTGCCTTGCCCCACCCCCCATTTGAGCACTCTCTCTCTCAAAAAAAAATTAAAATTAAAAAATAAAAAATAATAAATTTTTAAAAATAAGAGCTTTCTATTATTAATCATTGTATAAATAACTGCTCTTAAATTTCAACTACTGAAATATAACATAACCTAAGTACTCAATAACAATTTGAAATTGTTATGTTCCTGTTCCTTATATTTAAAAAAAAATCTTAATCTATTTCAACATAAAAGATTTTCCTGCTTAAAGTAGCATATGCAAATACAGGAAAAATAACATTGCAACTCCATAAAATGAATCCGTATTTTGGTTTTACTCACCCAAATAACTGTCATCAAAAATAGCTTGAGCAGTCCGAGTTGCTAACTGGTTATTATACTTGATGCTATAAACTTTGGGGTCATATTTAGAAACGATTTCTGCCACTTGATCCGAAATAAGCTGACCTGAAAAATATATATAAAATAAGTTTCTAATGGGAATTTATAATGCAGATGATAAATGGCACCTGCACACACAAAAATAGCATTAGAGATGAAAATTTCCAATTATTAGCCTTATTAAATAACTCTCCATAATATTAAATCTGAAATTTAAAATTTTTAAAGTCACAATTACTTCTATTCAAGCTAGTTCTTTAAAATTAGTCACTGCTAGTAAACAAAAATTATGAATACAGGATTTGTCTTAATTCACAAAATGATGTTAAATAACTGGAATAATAAAATCAAGGGCTGTTTCCCAAACAAATCCATCAGAATTTGAAAAGTCTACTGAAATAATTAAATACTTTTACTTTTGGTTCAACTTTTTTTCCCCCCCTACAAATTATTTGGATACACCTTTATGAAGAGGCCTGAATGGGTGAGTTCACTTTTCTTCACAACCTTAAGTTATCAGGTCGACAAGAAATCTAAAGCACTACACAAAAATCAGATTGTTCCCTACCCCAAGAAAGGTTGGGTAATTTATCAAAAGTCATCTCCATACATGAAGAAAATAATCTCTTCATTTCTGCTGTTTCGGAAAAAAATTCATAGCTAACGTTTATCAGTCTGTTCCAATCTGTCCAGTCACAAAGGTTGAGTCTATAGGGTAGGAACACTTTGGGTCACTACTTTATCCTCTGTACCTAAACAGTACCTAACACATGGCAAGAACTCAATAACTATTTCTTGAATCAAAGAACACAAGAAAATCTCATCATCTCTTTTGAATAAAACATTATAATTTTATCTATTTGTACAGAGATAATTCTGAGATCTATGGAAAAATTCATTCTGACATACTTATTAATTCAGAATAAAACCTGCTGATTTTAATCTTATTAGAACAAAATATTCTCTACCCAGCCACTGAGTCTTTCAGTTACATATCCTAGACCATTTATAATAAAATTCCAATCAACACAGTATCAATTGTCTATGCCAGTCCTAGTTTTTAAATAGGTATAATACTCAAGGTATTAAAAGAACTAGTCATCTAGGGGCACCTGGGTGGCTCAGTTGGTTAAGCGTCTACCTTCGGCTCAGGTCAAGATCCTGACGTCCTAGGATCGAACTCTACTCCCTGCTTCAACCTCCCTGCCTGAGCAGGGAGCCCGCTTCTCCCTCTCCCTCGCCACTTCCCGTTTGTGCTCTCTCTCTCACTCTCTCTCTCAAATAAAAATCTTTAAGAAAAAAAAAAAAGAACTAGTCATCTAAACATGTTCACAGCTGTGTCTCTTAAAAAGGCAGAGGTAAGAAGCAGTCCTGACTGAGAATCACAGAATCAATCTTTGGTTCCCAGGCACCTCCCTCCCCTCCACTGAATGACATAACTAGCACACAAGAAAAAAAAAACAAAACAAAAAAATCCATGTTTTTTATCTTACTAGAAAGCATTAATATCTCCTACTTTAATCTTGTATGCAATCAAACTGCTATTTTTGTTTTCATTTTAAAACTGTAAAACCCAATACAATTTTCCTAAATCATTTCATTTTCCAATAGATGTATAATTAATAGAAATTCAATTCTTCTGTTTTAGTTAGTATGCTGACCCATCTTTCCCTGATTTTTCTCTTCTTCATTTCTCCTTTGCCATCCCTTTCAACTTTTCACTTATTCCCATTTCTCATCCCTTCTTATTTTCTTTCTTTACTATTTTTCTCCAGTAAATCTTTTTTTAGTTTCCTTTTCTATGAAGCAAAAGTAATAAGCGTGGGTTAGAGTACAGAAGTAAAATTCGTAATTAGAAAGTACTTGCACATTAATATAGTCATAGATTTTTCCAGTTCTTTCAAATACTGGTAATGCTTAAATATCAGATTACCAAAAAACAAAAGTTCTGACCTTGTAAACACCACTTTTTAGCAGAAAACAAACATGTGAATATATTAGCTAAATAAATAACCATGTGTACCTAATGATACAGGAAACATAAAGTAAAGCAAGTAAGCAAATTTAGTTACCTATTTTCAAACTGTCAGCAAATAATGATCTGTTATGCATTTTTACAAATAGTAATTTTGTTGGGCCTCCCAGAATGACTGAAGAATGTGTTTTATCTTTATATTGATGCCAGTTTAATTACATTCTTTTGGAACTTAATAAGATCCTCTATTTTAAAAACTCCCCAAACACAAAGAAATCATTCTTGATGTCAGTAATTAATGAGAAAATAACCATTCAAATATTCTAATGAGCAAATTCGAAATACTTTAAAACCATGAGCTCTCAGAATGCCACAATTTGCCTGTCATAAATCAGTTCCACACTTCCTAATGGTTACATCATAGTCTCTGGAGTACAGAGATGAAGAAGCACATGCCACAAGCAATAAAAATAAATTGTTTTAAATTACTTTATAGATTTACTTTATAATTTACTTTAAAAATATTGTTTATTTTCTCCTAGGAATATATATCTCTATATATTACAATATGCCATATATTTTATTTTCTATATATCAAAATATATATAGGATACTACAGTCCTTTTAAAAAAAGAATACTGTGTAACAGATAGTGATTATATATTTAAATTGTATTTTTCAATTTCTTTCTTTAAAATAATTTGAAAAATCTCATAGGCATCTAAGCCAAGGGAGCATTAAACACAATCACTACCAAGTAATTTAAAAAAATATTAACCTACCTTGCCAATAAAAGCTACCAGGACCACCAAGAAGTACTCTGTCAGCCTAGATTAAATCAAACAACAAAAAATACATATTTAAAAACAGGTAGTTTGAAAACTACCTGTAATACACATAAAAACTATATATACATACACATCTAATATACATAAAAGTTATATATACACATATATACCCATACAACAAAATCATAACTCTCAAACTTCTCTAACTCATTCTCAATAAATTTTCATTGCACCTTATCTAAAATACAAAATACAATACAAATCAAAAAGGGTTATAATGCATTTAATATATGAAATATAAAAAAATACACAAATACATACACACATTGATTCTATAAATCTGGCTGCTTCACATACTTGTTATGAAGTACTACTACAAAATACTTTTGAGTTACAATAAAGACAAAAAGTCATTGATTTTGTCTATTTGTGACTACACAGGGAAATTTCCTTTCTAATAATCATTAAAAATTCTTTAGCTAATGAAAAATTATTTTTCATGTCCTGCAGATCTAAACAGAAATGAAGTTAGAGGGTAAATTTTTCAGGGTGTATTACACATACAAATTACACTTGACTAGTATTTCTTATATCTGTAACAAACAGTAAGTATCTAATTTAAGGAAACTGTATTTAGGGTTTTAGCACATTTTGGAAATTTCTTCCGGCTGGAGAGAAAAAAAAAAGTTTTCCCCCTCCAAACATACATATAGCCTTAGGAAGATTTCAACAGACAATTTTCCTGCATTGGCTATAAAAAAGATACTTCTAAATTGTCTACTTTAAAAGGATACCTTTTATTTTAGAAATGAGTTGAAGAAAGTAAACAGTTAATTTAGCAGTGAATATTCATGTACGAGAATATTTCTGGGGTTATAGTTGCATGGGCATAGGTACAGAAAACATGGATACTTTTTTTGAAACAACACCTATTTGAAAATATTTCATGAAAGTTTAAAGCTAATATTTATTAATATACTTCTCTTTGTTTTGCTTCCTCAAATTTTGAATTATTAGTAATTGTGAATAAATACTGATTTATGAATCTCGAATTGAGTGATTTAAATCAATTATGCAATAAAGAAAGTCAACTATAATTACAGTCCTAGTCTAGAAAAAAAAATTTTTAGTAAAGATAAAATACAAATTTTAAAAAATAAGAAAAGGCTTTATTAATTTTCTGAATCACATAATTACATAGTTTCTACTGTTTTAATAAATTTAAGGTATTTTCTAAGAAAGCCATATTAAGCTTTCTAAGGAAGCTCTACTTTTAATCAATATATGTAACATTTCTCTAGGAGTAATTAATATTCTCAATTTGATATTCAAAATGTTCATATATCCCACTCAAAAAAAAAAACACATATACAAAAGAAAATTATAGAAAGAAAAATACCTAAGAAAATTTTCCTTTGAAAACATACACTGAATTGTTATTTTAGGAAAACAGATTTAAAAACTATCAACTCTGGAGAGCATACCAGCTTAGTGAAAAATACAGAGTCACACATATGAATTTTTTTAGAAATAATTAAGTTGTTCCAGCTTTACTTGGTGCCTGTAGGCACATAATAGATGGCAAACATGCATGTTTCTCAAGTTTTATGTAACAAAACTACAATTTTGTAACAAAGCTCCCACTGACAAGATTTTATGAAAAATCAATTTCAGTCAAACAGGAAAAACTTTAATATTATATAAATTTATCTAACTGGAAACTTTAATATTAAGTCATAATGGTTATCTGTATCTACTGAGGAGACTTTCTACTGTCCTCCATTCCCATTCTGATGTCTATTTCAAATAACCAACGTCTGCTAGGGAGAAAATAATATAAGGCAAAGATTATCAAAATGCATGGGTCATTTTTATTAGCTGTTTTCATAAAATAGGTAATAGTTATAAAGAAGCTGAAGTATTATTGAGCAATTAATTTTTAACAATGGTTTAGATAATGAGATAGATCTGAATCTCATTCAGTCTTAAATGAGAACTTACTTTGGTAAAATCAATGCTGAATCCTCCTTGACAAAATCCCTGTCCATCAGCATCAATATTTTCTAAAATAAAAAGATTGGAAATATACACAAACCCAAAAACAAACAAATAACATAAAACAAAACATGAGAAAAATCTGTATCACTGTAATCATAAGATAATGTACCATGAATTGGGAATGTTCATTCACTCAAGCACTTACTGAGTTATTCTTACATTCTGAAAAAGTTAGTATGCATTTTTATCAGCACCATTTTCTTAGATATGGCAAGAGAGATCAAAGTACCTGGAATGGTCACCAGGAAACAGAAACATCACCTAAAATGGTAGATTTAAAACTTATTTTTAACCACAACCCACAGCAAGATTATATCCTGTAACCCAGACAACCCAACATATACATATTGTGTGTATATAATAGATATATAAATAAGACAAAATTTCACAAAACAGTATTAGTATTACCACGTACAATATATTCTGACATTTTCTATTTTATTTCATTCCATTTTTAAAAAATTACTGGTTATGAACCACTATTTTGATTTCATAAAACAAAGATGAGTTGTGATCTACGAGTTAAAAATTACAATCCTAGGGACGCCTGGGTGGCTCAGTTGTTAAGCGTCTGCCTTCCGCTCAGGTCATGATCCCAGGGTCCTGGGATCGAGGCCCATGTCGGGCTCTCTGCTCAGTGGGAAGCCTGCTTCTCCCTCTCCCACTCCCCCTGCTTATGTTCCCTCTCTCACTGTGTCTCTCTCTGTCAAACAAATAAATAAAAAATCTTTAAAAAAAGAAAAATTCCAATCCTAAATTCCTATTATTACCCTACAGTTGCTAGCCTACAGTCTTCACAAATTTATTACGAATACTAGTAAAGAGATACATACATTCCTAATACATATTTACTACACATATATTTTATAGCCAACAACCATAAAAAAATCTATTGAAAATGTAGTTCAGAATTTTGGGAGAGAGCCAGACCCTAACTCAATGTTCAGCAAAAAGCAAAATATGAAACTATCTTCACAACATACTTAGAACCGCAGTCTAATGAACGTGAACACCTTTAAACATGACACTTTCAATTATTTTCCAAATGGTAACAGACTCAGTAGTTAGACTCTTTGATAGTTACCTTTTATTTGGTAGTTCTCACAAAAGGGGACAATTTCTGGACAATTAGCCAATTAATTTAAATTAACTCTAATCATGAGTAATACTGTACCTAGAATACAGGTAAGGATGAACCTGAAGACTCTCCCTTGTTTTATTTTGAAGATAACAAGGAACAATGAAAACACTACTCTTTAGTTATCAAGGAATTCTTGTAGCCAATGTTACAATACATAAATAATTATGCTATAGTATTACTATATTTCCCACCCAAACACAGGAACCAAAAATATCTATTTTCAGTACAACTGAAAGGACAATTTCCAAAAATTTTTGTCAAATACTCCCATCAAAAATTTTGAACACATTTTAAAAACCTGGGAACTGTCCCAAGATTACACACTTAATAACTAAATTTAGAATTTGTTTTAGAAAATAGCCTCAAGAGTGTAATGCTACCCCAATGTAAATTTTTCTAACCAAGAGGGAATGGGAAAATGTGGGCTGGGGTTTCCAGCATCTAGTGAATCATACTGAGGAATTCTGCTCTGACCTCAAGGCAGCCATTTATTTCCTTTATTCAATTTGTATTCAGGGGAACTATTTCAGGCCATTTATAAAGACATCTCTTTTTGATTATCATACTGTATATTTATCTGCTTTATTTGGTTTCCCAGAATGTCCAGCTAGAAAACAGGACTGTCCTTTAAAATTTTCTTAACAGGTATGTATTAAACTGAGTGTTTAAGAATTTTATGGTAACTACAAGCTATTTCAGTGAAGAATTTATTTTTATTCCTATAGATGTTTTTATTCCTATAGATGAATAATATTTCTCCTACTTGTCAAGCCTGACAGCATTATAATATTACTGATTTTGATAGTAAGAGCAGCTTATGTTTATTAAGCCCCTTCCATGAGCCACGTACTGTACTAAAGCATTTTCCAAGACATTATCTTTTAAAATCTTATGCAATCCTGTGAGAGATACTATTATCATTCACAATGTACAGATAAGGAAATGAAGGCTTACAGAAATGAAGTACCTTGACCATAGTCAGCCACCTAGTAAATAAGAGAGCATGGATCTGAGCCCAGTGTGTCCACACCACTAACCTGCACTATCTCAAATCAACAGTGTACTTATAATTTCCTGAGTAACTATCAAGGGGAAAGAAAAGGTAATTAGTTTTCATAACTGAGAAAAATCTATGTACAAATAATGTTACCAGAAAGTAGAAGGAACAAAGGACGCAGCCTGAGCAAGGAATTGAAAGTATTTAAGTTAGATGATTTGTGGCTCTGGAACTTTTAGAAAGACATCTGGCCTATTATGTAAAGCCATTAGGTCGTAGATAGTTATGAAAAGCTAAAAGCTAACATAATCAGGAATAAAGAAATTTTTTTTACAGACAGTGAAGTTTCATGCCCAGGGTGTCCACACAGGTCATGTTGAAAACAAAAGCAAACAAACAAACAAAATGCCCCACAAACTACCACTACCAAAACAAGCAAAATTATCAAGTTAGCAATGTAGCCCTTCAAAATTGGCATTCCCATGCAAAATCAATCATTGGTTGCATAATTTATTGAAGCATGAAGAAAATACAAAACACAAAAATTGTACCTCTAAAGTCTTTTATCCGAATCAGTGTTTTACACCAAGAGTGAAACAAAGGCCCAGAGTGATTAAGTAATCACGCATAGCAACAGCAGGTTGTTGACAAAATTCGAGAATATAACCCAGGTTCTCAGATTCCCACTCCTGAGCATTTTTCCCCCCTCTGGTCATGTTGCCCCTTGTAATTTGGGCCTGTAGGTAGCTTCATATTGCAAAGGTTGAGCCAAAAAGCATATACAATAATCAAGGGATACTGAAAGCCAGATTTATTAGAAAGAAAGGCATTCACTTTGATTTTTGAAGTTATTCTTTTGCTTTTTCTAAGATTTGAGGTTTTATTATCTGATCAGGGATCAGCAAACTTTTTCTGTAAAAGATCAGATACTAAATATTTTAGACTTAGGGGATATATGGTCACTGTGGCAATCACTCAGCTCTCCCTTTATAAATAACTTGTAAACAAATGGGTGGGGCTATATTCCAATAAAATTTTATTTACAAAAAGAGGCTCACAAGACAGTTTGCTGACCTGATTTGGTTGTTAAATACTTTAGAAAATAAGGTTTAAAATGATTTTACAATTTCTGTGCCTATATGTAAAATTTCTGTGCCTAAACCAAATAAACAAAAGACAAATACATCACGCAAATACTGCCTTCATCCTTTAAACACATGTTGAGTAACTGGTCATCACTGAAGAGGCAAAATGACAAAAACTATTAGCCTAACCTGGCAGTATATCCACGATGGATCATCATTAGAATGCTTGCTTTCAGAAGGGTACCAAGTACTCTTACACATCCAGAATAATCCAAACCTGTATTTATGAAAGCTGGGTGTATTTTTTATGGATAAGCTGTGGTTAACACTGAGGCCATTGAAATGGAAAACAATTCCCGTTGTTAGTATTACAAGGAAAGGATTCATCTGGAGTAAGATCTGGGTTCAAATCCTCACTAGACCACTCACTGCTATAAGATGTAGGAAAAAATTACTTGCAACTCTCTGAATCTCAGCTCCCACATCTATCATGTGAGAATAAGGGTGATTTTTACATGCATGTCCATCATGTAAGTGGTAAGTTACAAACCTGGCATGAAAGAGTTAGCTCATTCCTCACAGCTATAAAATTATCTTTTCACAGTAAGATCGTTTTTACAATACAATTAAAAACATAATTTAGTTCTCGCATTTTCCACATACCACAAAGACAACAGTACTGTGACCAAAACAGCAACATAAAGGTGATGATACAGATGGTATCAAACACTGAGTATAGGGCTGCCAACCTCCTCTGTCCTGCGTAAGGTGTGCTTTCTGAACTATCCTAATAAATAATGCAGTTCTGGGGAGGTATCGTTCTTCTGATGTGTACCTCTCATGTACAGCAGATAGGGTCAAGTTGGTGGGTTAAGAAATAAGTATTAATAATAATCATTTGCAATTGCTTGGAGGTTCAAGGGCTTAGAATTTTGAAGACTGAACAGTTCCTCTGGCCTGGTGTCTTAAGTCAACTAACATGGAAAAAAAGAATTTAGCAGTTAACAGTCCTACATGTTATACCTCTATTACTAATTCTCTCTACTGAACTATCTGGTGACCAATGGAACAAAGAAAGGGGCACCTGGGTGGCTCAGTCAGTTAAGCGTCTGCCTTCGGCTCAGGTCATGATCTCAGGGTCCTGGGATCAAGTCCCGCATTGGGCTCCTTGCTCAGCGGGGAGCCTGCTTCTCCCTCTGCCCCTCTCCCCTGCTCGTGCTCTTTCTTTCTCTAATAAATAAATAAAATCTTAAAAAAAAAAAAAAAGGAACTGGAATCTCCTTTGGAAAAGCATTATCAAAATTTTAAGTGCTCAAAATCATCTTTAGTCACAAGATGAATTTCATCTGAAATTTCAAATAATATTAGACAACAGAGTGAGATCTTTTGGATTATCAGAAGAGGAGTAAGCTTGATAACAGAATGACAGAGAAACTGATTTAAAAGAAAGAAAATTCAGGAGTGCTTGGCTGGCTCAGTCGGTTTTGAGTTTGAGCCCCAGGTTGGGTGTAAAGATTACTTAAAAAGTAAACCTTTAAAAAAAATTTGTTTAATTAAAAATAAAATTAAAGGAAGAAAATTCTGACTCAAAGTCCTGAGATCAATGTTTCACCTTCCTATATAAACTCTAGCTCTTTAAGACATATTTTTTTTACATTTAACATCATTATTAATATAAAGCTGTAGTTCTTAAACTTTGGTATCCATTAAATTCCCTTGTAGAGTTTCCTAAAAAGGAAGGTACCCAGGCCTGACAAAAACCTACTGCATCAGAACGTTTTGTTCTAGGCAGTCCCACATCTATGTTAGAGAAGCTCAACGGAGCATCTTTTGACTCACACACAATATGTCTACAATTTTTAAGACACACACACACATTTTTTTAACAAACTAGGCTTCCCAACCCTCTTTAAAAGCTGGTACAACTTGCTATACATACTTGATCTGCATGGAGCATACTCCACAGTCTTTGTTCCATCCTGAAGAAAGCATGTTCCAACAGGCTCTCTCTCCTGTTTCATTTCAGTCCTCCAGTGGTACAACGGGGCACAGGCCTGAAATCAAAGGGGATTGTCCATGGCATAAAAATTCCCTGAAAATATTAGTGTTTCAGACAAAATATTAGTGTTTCAGACTATCTGTACAACTTCAGATTTCAAAAACACTTTCTAAGCATTAATAAAAATTAATCAAGCCTGTCTTATACCAAGAATTCCTTATCACAACAGTGGATACAGATTTAAAAAGTACTTTCCTCACATATTTTTTTTTCAAAATAGTTAGCAAAACTATTTCATGTAGCACTTTTCTTGATGTTATGCACTAAGCTGATGGTCACAGATTAAATCAACATTTGAACTAAATAACATTCTCATGCATGTAGAATATACCCCTAAATTATAAAGCAAATGATTTATTAAGAAAAAAATAAAGGACTTTGCAGGGCTTACTTTACGTACTTTCCAAATAAATTATGACTTTTTTGTTTTCAGAGTTACAGATTTCAACACCATGTACAAGAAGTGGAACAATAACATAGTAATTTACCAAAATGTGACAATTTAATTCTGGAAAAAGGTTCAATTAACTTTCTGTAATACTTTTTTGAAGCAAGACATTAACACAAACACTGCAGACATTAATAGTAGGTTATTTTATATTTACCCTGAAAAAAGTGAAAGGAGATGATTATTGCTACTTTTCTACGTGTACTTGATGTTTTACATACAAGGATTATTTTCTCCTTCTGCTTATTTCTGCTTCTTTGCTTTCTGCCTAGAGTGCCCCCACTCTCAACCCCATCCTTTATTTCCAGCTGGACACAGCCTTTAAAGCTCCTTTGAAATTTCAGCTCCTAAACAAATTCTTTCCTAATGCCCCACAATTGGATTTTTAAAAACAGTAATAAACACAATGCAGATAATTAAAACAGGGAAGGACTTTCTAAGGAAATGAAATTAAAGCTGAAATCAGAATAATGAGGAGCTAGCCAAGTGAAAATCAACAAGATGAGCATAACACAGAGGGAACAAAAACACTAAGATACTAACTGCAGTGACTTGTCATGTGGAAGGAATAAAGACCAGTGTAGCTAAAGCATGTGAGGTGGAGTAAGATGATGCCAGAGACAAGAGCCAGTGACCTGATTATGGAGATGCTCACAAGCCAGAAGAAGCAGCGATTTGTCCTCTGAGCGTGATGGAAAACCACTTGACTGTTTTAATCAAGAAGAAATGCTCTGATTCACTCTGGTCCTCCTCTGGAGAATGGATTGTAGTTGGGGCAGGAGAGGAAGCAGAAAGAGGAGGACAGCACTACAGGAACCCAGGCAGGTAATGATGGTGGCTTGATACAGGGTGGAAATAGTGCAGATGATGATTATTTACTGATGGATGTGGGATATATTCTGGAAGCAAAATTGATACAGCTTACTGGTGGATGGGGTAGGAAATCATGCCTCTAAACAAGCTGGGGAAGTTTTATATGGAAACAGTTATCTTTGTGTTTTTTCCTTTTTTTAACTTTTACTTATTTATGTATTTATGTATGTATGTATGTATGTATTTATTTTATTTAAGAGAGAGAGAGAGAGCACAAGCAGGGGGAGCTGCAGAGGGAGAGGGAAAAGCAGGTTCCCCACTGAGCAGGAAGCCCAATAGGGGGCCCGATCCCAGGACCCCGAGACCATGACCTGAGCCAAAGGCAAATGCCCAATCAACTGAGCCACCCAGGTGCCCCTGTGTTCTTTACTTTTTGATAGCGGGTAACAAAAGTTCTATTTTAGCCACATTCATTTTGAGTAATAATATAGGAGATATCCAAATGGAAATGCCACATAGCTTGTTTGGAAATATGACTTTGAAAATCCAAGGAGAACTAAGAGCTAGAGTGATAGATTTGGGAATTATGACATTTGGATTTTATTTACAGCAATGAGACAGAATAGGAACAGCCAGGTAAAAGGTGTACTTAGAGAAGATGGGGGTCCAGAACACAGCCTAGGAACAACCCAATGTTTAGAGACTGAGCAGAAGAGGAGACTGCAAGGAGCAGGCAAAGAAATGGGAGAAAACCAGGAAAATACAGTGTTCCAGAAGCCAAGGGAAGAAAAGCATTTCAAAAACAATGGGCTAACTGACCTTGCTGAATGGTGCTGAGACGACAAGAAACATAAGAACAAGTACCAATGATTTCAGTGACCTGATAGCCAAGGGTGACTTTGGCTGTGCCTACCTGAGCCTGACTGCAGTGGTTGGGAAGACAATGTGAAGAAAGTAGAGATAGTCACTGTAGAAAACACTTTCAAAACGTTTCTGAAAAGGGGAGCCAAGTAAATGAGGCATAGCAGTGGGGAAGAGGCAAAGGGAAGGTTGCTGTATTTTTAAAGAGAGGAGGTACTAGTGTGTTTGATTAATGATAGGCCCACTAGTCCTAAACCTGGCTGGATAGAAACATACTGACGGGAAGTATCAACAGGGGCAGGAGAAAGGAACAAGGTAGGAATGAAGGTAGAAAGTAGCAGAACCCAAGTGACTAAACTCACCTACAAGGAAGTAACCAAAAGACTTACCAGAATTTTATCCTGTTTTGATCTCACAGATGCTCCAAACCACTGGTGAGACTTAAACTCCAATGGATCATCCTTGGCATAATCTCTATTGCCTAAGAAAAATAATGTGAGGGGGGAGAAACAAAATATATATTCTTAGTATAACAGAGTTTATTTCAAATCAGCCAGGTGTACAAATAGTGTAATCAAATAGCCTTTGATTAATCAAATACCACATTAGCTATTTATCTCATGTACTTTATGAATGTCAGGAACTTTCAACTAATCAAAAAATAAAACACAGGATGACTAGAAGTGTGTCAGGGTTGTATTAACTATTACAATGCAGATGTGAAAAAATAATACTAAGTTTCCCAACTGCTAAGTTGTAGGATAATTATTAAACAAATAACTTATAATTACCTACTGTACTCCTGCAAGTTCTGTGATTTAGATGTTATGAAAACAAAAAGCTACTGCCGGGCGCCTGGGTGGCTCAGTCAGTTAAGCGTCTGCCTTCAGCTCAGGTCATGATCCCAGGGTCCTGGGATCGAGTCCCACATCTGACTCAACTGCTCAGCGCGGAGCCTGCTTCTCCCTCTCCCTCTGCCTGTCGCTCCCCCTACTTGTGCTCTCCCTCTCTCTGACACATAAATAAGTAAAATCTAAAAAAAAAAAAAAAAAGCTACTGCCTTTATAAAACACCAGTAGCAAAAGACTAAAGTAAAAGACTGAGACATTGCGAATGATACTGTAACACAGGAGTTAGAATCTAGAAGACATAATTTGGCTGGTGGGAAAAAGAATTAGATTTGGCATACTGCATGCAAGTATTTATTTTCAGTTTACATTAGTGAGAAAATTATTCCCAATGTATCAGCCACTCATGTAAAGCACTGGAAAAAGGAAAGGAAAAGGAAAAGGAAAGAAAATCCTTTCACTGAAAAGCTGTTAAATTGGTCAAGGAAAAAAAATATGGAAACGTACGCATAAAGCATTTGGGGAGAGACTTTTTTTTTTTGAGAAAGATACTAATTATTTTTAAAGTCTAGTCTGTTCCTTAAAATCTACTTATAATAATCATTCTTTATAGACATATATTCCAAGGGGCATCTGGATGGCACAGTGGGCTGAGTGTCCGACTCTTGGTTTCAGCTCACGTGGTGATCTCAGGGTCCTGAGATGGAGTCCCACATCAGGCTCTGCACTCAGCCTGGAGTCTGACTGAGATTTTCTCTCCCTCCCCTCTGTCCCTATCCCACTCGCATGCAACTCTCTCAATCTAAAATAAGTATTTTTTAAAAAACAATATATATTTCAAGAACTATACTGGACAAATACAGCAGACAAGATCAATTTTAAGACTGCCAGCCAACGTGTAAAAATCATCAAAAGGTTTGTGTTAAATCCATTCCCTAAATTTCATTCATCTAAGGTAGTGCTTATGGTTATTCAGTTCCATTCTGAAGACTTAAGACCAACTGAAGTTATAAATAATTAATGAGAATTTCAATAATGCCAGGTGTCTTACAGACAAGGTAAAGGGTATAATACTGTTCACTATACTATTCTTTTACCTTTTCATTTTTTTTTTTAGATTTACTTATTTATTTATTTATTTGAGGGAGAGAGAGAAAGCATGAGAGAAAGAGAGCACATGAGTGGGGGGGGAGGGTCAGAGGGAGAGGGAGAAGCAGACTCCCCATTGAGCGGGGAGCCCAATGTGGGACTCGATCCCAGCACCCTGAGATCATGACCTGGGCCAAAAGCAGATGCTTAACTGACTGAGCCACCCAGGAGCCCCCCTTTTCATTATTTTGAAAGAATTTTCTTTTAATGTGTCAATCTCCAAAGGCCTCTATCTGTAGTCTAAATATAGCTGCTCCTTGTCAGTGGTCACAAAGACACATTTTTTAAGTAGAAGGAAGGAGAAAGGGAACTTAGCTAGTATATGCCCTTCACCATGAAAACCAAGGTTTCCCAACAGTAGTTGGCTTGCCTCTGAAGCCTGTGTTCACCTTGCCATCACCACTGGGAACAATACATGTCAATGACCCATAGATCATTAACGCATCCGTCAATGGACTCCTTTATATTTCCCATCCTCCTACAGTTAGGTTAAAGCCACGTAACTAGTGCTTGCCAATAAGCTAAGAGCAGAAGCGGCAGATGTCGCTTCCAACAGTTCAAGTAAGTCAAAAGTGGATATGAGCTCACTAATCATCAAAGAGATGCAAATCAAAACCACAATAAGATACCATCTCACACCAGTTAGGACGGCCATTATCCAAAAACAAACAAAACAAAACGAAACAAGAAAACAAAAGCTAACAAGTGTTGGCGAGCACGTGGAGAGGAGGGAACCCCTGCACACTGCAAGTGGAAATGTACACTGATACGTCCGTTATGGAAAACGGTATGGAGGTTACTCAAGAAATTAAATATGGGACTGCTGTATGATCCAGGAATCCAACTTCTGGGTATATATCCAAAGGAATCAAATCACTCCTCAAAGGGGTATCTGTATTCCCACGTTCACTGCAGCATTACTCGTAATAGCCAAGATATGATAGCAACCTAAATATCTACCGATGCGTGAACAGACAGTATACAGAATATTAGTTAGCCATAAAAAAAGAAGAAAATCCTGCCAGTTGAGACACTGATGGATCTAGAGAATATTATGCTAAGTGAAATAAGTTAGACACAGACAAATACTCCATTCTATCACTTATATGTGGAATCTGAAATAATCAACTCATTAAAAAACAAATAAAACAAAAAAAAGTCGATATGAAATCTCCATGTTTTCTCTTACCCATCCATAAGGCTAGAATAAGATGGTAGAATCACATGATACAAGCAGCTTTGGCCCAAGCTTTGAAACTGTAAGAAGAGCCAAATGACCCACACTAGATGACGATATGAGCAAGAAATAGTCCTTTTTTTTTTTAAGTGAAATTTGAGGTTTTGTTTGGAAATAAAGCATGACTGAAGTATAGCCTAGTGCAGCTTGAGTAATACACATTCTGCTATTTCCAAAAGTGCCTGACCAACAATTACAAAGAAGCTTAGCCTCTGGATGAAATGGGATTCAACTGATAATTTTCAATGTTTTAAACCATAAAAGTTATGGTTACAAATATTTTTTATTCCACTGCAAGCTAACTGTTCTCTTACTGTGCTACAGACTTTCTATTCTATTCCTAACTACAAAGGAAATGTAGGTATTTACCTCACCCCCTTACATTAATGATGGAGGTAAAATGCAGCATGACTGAGAAACAGGGGTGCTTGGAAAGATTCACCTCCACTCATTGTCCGGAGACCATAGACAAATTCAGGTAATCTTAGCCTGAGGGAACTGAGTTTATGAGCTAATAATGCATATGAACAAAAAGTGTAACATTCTCAGAATTGCTACTTCCTGCTTCTGCTTTCATTTAAAACAAAGCCTTTTCAGCAAGACCCTAAAGATGTCCAAGCAGAAACAAAGCTTTTCTTTATTAGAAGAAATCTTTGTCTATACCACATCAGAAAGGTTCAAATTAAGGCTCTATATATTTCCTCATAAGCTCTACAACTGCCAATTTCAAAAACAAAATGATACAGAACCAATATCACTATATTCCTTGTTGGGGGAGGGGGGTCTTTATTTTTTTATGTTTTTCTAAATTTTGTTTTTTTATTTAAATTCAATTAATTAACATATGTATTATTAGTTTCAGAGGCAGAGGTCAGGGATTCATCGTTTTTAAGATTTTATTTATTTTGACAGAGAGCACAAGCAGGCGGAACAGCCAGCAGAGAGAGAGGAGGAGGGAGAAGCAGGCTCCCCGCTGAGCAGGGAGCCCGATGCGGGACTCAATCCCAGGACGCTGGGAACGTGACCTGAGCTGAAGGCAGATGCTTAACTGACTGAGCCACCCAGGCGCCCCATCATTAGTCTTATATAATACACAGTGATCATTACATTACATGCCCTCCTTAATGTCCATCACCCAGTTACCCCATCCCCCCACCGTCTCCCCTCAAGCAACCCTCAGCTTGTTTTCTATGATTAAGAATCTCTTATGGTTTGTCTCCCTCTCTGATTTTGTCTTGTTTTATTTTTTCCTCTCTTCCCCTATGATTTTCTGCTTTGTTTCTTAAATTGCACATATGAGTGAGATAATATAATCGTCTTTCTCTGACTGACTTATTTCACTTAGCATAATACCCTCTAGTTCCATCCACGTCGTTGCAAATGGCAAGATTTCATTTTTTTGATGGCTGAGTAGTATTCCATTGTATACATATGCCACATCTTCTTTATCCATTCATCTGTCCACTGGCATCAGAGCTCTTTCCATAGTTTGCCTATTATGGACATTGCTGCTATAAATATTGGGGTACAGGTGCCCCTTCAGATCACTATATTTGTTATCTTTGGGATATATACCTACTATTGCTATTGCTGGGTCATAGGATAGCTCTATTTTCAACTTTTTGAGGAATCTCCATGCTGTTTTCCAGAGTGGCTGCACCAGCGTGCATTCCCACCAACAGAGTAGGAGGGTTCCCCTTTCCCTGCATCCTCACCAACATCTGTCATTTCCTGACGTGTTAATTTTAGCCATTCTGACAGGTGTGAGGTGGTATCTCACTGTGGTTTTGATTTGTATTTCCCAGATGCCAAGTGATGTGGAGCATTTTTTCATGTGTCTGTTGGCCACTTGGATGTCTTCTTTGGACAAGCGTCTGATCATGTCTTCTGCCCGCCCATTTCTGGATCAGATTATTTGTTCTTTGGGTTGAGTGTGATAAGTTCTTTATAGATTTTGGATACTAACCCTTTATCTGATAAGACATTTGCAAATATCTCCTCCAATTCTGTCAGTTGTCTTTTGGTTTTGTCAACTGTTTCCTTTGTTGTGCAAAAGCTTTTTATCTTGAGGAAGTCCCAATAGTTCATTTTTGCTTTTGTTTCCCTTGCCTTTGGAGATGTGACTAGCAAGACGTTACTGCAGCTGAGGTCACAAAAGTTGCTGCTTGTGTTCTCCTCCAGGATTTTGATGGACTCCTGTCTCACACTGAGATCGTGCATCCATTTTGAGTCTATTTTTGTGTATGG